GTCATATCTGGGATCTTTGTCCTCAACTCCTTGGCGAAATCCAGGAAGTAGGACTCACGGGCAGCGGTTCTTTTCGACTGCGTTTTAGGCCCTGTCATCATCTTCATAGATGGATTAGTACGGCTAAACCAGATGATGAATCAAGATCGAGGCCGTGGCCACTTACTGAGGGCTTTTCATACGATCCACCACTAATCTCCAAGAAATCCAGGCCGGTATCTGCAATGAGAGACGCCTGCTCGAGGGCATCAGCGAGCTCTGATTTGGACTCAGCGTTGCCCGCCGTCTGGTGGTCTGTCGAATTGAGCTTGAGGCCAACGCAGAATGTCGGCGGGACGGCTGCGCGAATCGCCTTGAGGATATCGACCACTATCTTGGTTCGAGCGGCAGGTGAGCCTCCGTAGGCATCTGTTCGCAAATTCGCCTTGGGCGATAGAAATTGGGAGAGCAAGTAACCATGCGCTGCATGCAGCTCAACGCCATCGAAGCCAGCCTCGGCGGCGACAGTTGCGGCATAGACGAAGCGATTGACCACATCTTCGATATCGGTCTGGGTCATCTCCTTGGGCGTACCAAATAGACATGTCGAAGTAAGCCAGGATATGATGCCCGGTCCAAAGTTGAGTGGGATCGGACTCGGGGCAAGGCTCTTATCCCAGAATGATTTTGTTCCTGCTCCTGGAGGAGACTGGCGACCAGGATGATTCAACTGCAGGAGGGTTGGAGTTCCTTTGACCTTGCAAATATTGGCAAGATCCTTGAATACCTCGACCGTCGTCTCATGTGAACGCGTCGCGTCAATGCTAACGTCGTAGGCTTGTCCAAGATATCTCACATCTACTTGGACGTTGCCGGACATAACCAATCCCCAACCACCATTAGCCCAGGCCGAGTACACATTCTTCATCTGTGGTGTGGTCGGGAGACAGTTTGCGTCGGCGAGCTTCTCAGCCATGGCGGCCTTGACGAGGCGGTTTGGCAGCTGCAAGCCGCATGGAAGAGTCAAAGGCTGGCCTAGACGAGATTTCGACATTTTGTATGATTTTAATTATTTTGTTCCGATTGATAAAAAGACAAGATAGGGGAGAGGAGTAGATATGGCGATCCTCCAGCAGAGATTTCAGCTCCCCTTTCCGTTATATATTGATAACTCCAGTCATTGCCACTAGCTCTTCAATCGCTGCTTAGAATACGGCCTTCCCGGTGCCAGATAGACGCTAGGGGTCCGAACTCATGCTGGAAAATCCTATCTGTCGGTCATGGACGAATTCAAGAGACCGGAAATCTTTTGCTCCACAATGCCAAGAGAACAGGTCTTGCAATTGAAACGGTGGGACGAAAATCACATCTAACCAAACGCAGTAAGCTTTTCTTACCACATTCATAGCCCTATGATCTATCATTAATGAAGCCCGGGATATCTGCATCTTCTGACCTTCGTACTCTTGCAAGACGCTTTGAGATGCCTCCAACTCGTCTTCCGTCAAGACGAGCACTTGCTTGCTACCAGTGTGACTTTTCAGTCTCCTGTTGAATGAGCGATGGGCATGGACGAATTCAAAGCCCGACCCCGTGCCCCACCCACATCCCGTATTTCATGCCGAGGCATCTTTACGGACGGATTCCCAATCAAGGCCGGGTTTGATTCCTTTGCAAGTAACGCTCTGCTAGGTGTTTTAGGTTTCGAGAATGGGCTGTACTATTTTTGTGTGTGATTTGTCAGTATCTGCTCGGGAAAATTACATGTTCAGACGCAGATTGAAAAGGCGACCGGCAAGACCAATATCCCACGTGATTCATTCGAAGATCAGATCAGCTCTCGGAGGCGCTGAATTTCTCCCAGCCCAATTTCTTTTTATCACTACGGATTCCTTCAATGCGTAGGATTTGGGGAATTCACGGGCGCAAAAATTCGGGAACCGTGCTTTTTTACTTGAGTTTGCCTATACCTACTTCAAGGTTCCTTCTCGTAGGCACGGTCTGTGATGCTGCTTGGTTGGATAAACCCACCTGCACTCAATACAAACCTGCGTAATCCTGCAAGACATGCGGTGGTGCACAAATTGGCAAACTGATGGGATTGCTGAAGTCAGGTTAATTGAATGCCGTAATAAGTTCTGTGTTGTAAAATCGTCTTGCCTTAGACGATGATTTGAGCCATGTGCCACGCACGAAGTATAGAGTTATAGTAGATGGTTCACACAAGAATTTGAAATAGGAAATGAGTGGACGATTGAGGCGACCAAAAGAAGCCCCAGTCAAGCACCGTGTAGACCTACCCTAGAGCTTCAACACTACTCAGTAATTGGTTTTGGTTTTCTATGCATCCACCGTTGACTTCTCAACTCAGAGAGAATTTGGAATTCTCTCCCGGATATAAGTGATTCATGCTCCTTTGATTGGGGTAAGTCGCGTCTTGTGGAAACGCCTTCAGCCTGTGCGTGGAGTGGAGGTAGCCATGATAGCGCATTTTTTTGGGTAAATTACTTGACTGTGAAACTAGAGTTGCTGGCGAGGATAGTTAGAGGGAGCTTATGGAAGTTCCCGCGATGAACACGACGCAAGGGCAGCAATGTTCGGTTCCGTGGGCTGCTTTGTAGTATATTACCCAAACCCAGCTAAAATTCACTGCATGATCATCAAACATTTATTATTATCCTGGGATATAGCGTCTTTCATTGCTTTGCTGCTAGCGATAGACTATATTATTCATCAAGGGATGTAATTAATGCGAGCATACTACGTCGTTGCGAGTATAATCGGCGAACTAAGATACACCACGTTGACTGTTGCGTTGAAGTTTCGTGGCCTATTGGCCTATTATAAGATTATACTGATACTTGGTAGATTAACATTCAGGTCAATGTAAATGAGACGCGGGCCCTGATAGAGTTGGTGCACAAGGTGTCAAGGGCTTTTGTTTACACACCTATTGGGTTCTCTCTGGCGTCATACTGCCGTGGCCTAGAGCCCAGACGAAGGCGATGATGTCTCCATGTCGCCAAGCTACTTGAAGAATAGCTCTGCATATCACGAAGCCCTACGAAATCTATTACCTATGTCAATCAGGGGAACCAAGACTTTATCGAGCTAAGCTCCTTTAGATAAGTCGAGGCTACAGAAGAGGAAACGAAACTGGCCATGGGGACGTGGCTAGCGTCTTGGTCGTCCAGGGGCAGTACTAGAATGCAAGATCCATAGGAAATAAGCTTTGTCTTGTAAACTATTTCAGAGACCATGTGGTAAAGATGTGAGTCTGAATATCTTACAACGTTTGGCTGTCTTCTTCTGCCAAATCTTCACTGAATACCCCCAAGTGATGCATTTCTGCTAAGCGTTTCACATTGATGAATGTGGCTTGTGTTAGAGCTGGGCTTCAAGCTCGGCAACACCCAAATATAGACTGTTTGAGCTTATTAATCACAACTTGACCGGTCCAGGGCCACGCTCCACCATCGACAACGTGGTGGTGTGACAGGGATGGACACTGGGGCTTGCCAAGATGGTGAGATATGATGTTGCTATCGAATCCAATGCGATTTTTGCCGGTAAGAAAATCGGGCTTGATAGTGACTTGCTCATGCGGACGATAGAGAACTGTCAGGAACCATACGCGATGATTCGAAGATAGTTTGACCAGTTTCTAGGGGGTTTCTAATTTTCTTTGCTGAGCGCAGGACTGGGGCGATGACATACACACGGACGAAGTACCTAACCTGGGTAGTATAAACTGTGGGGGGTGGAAATGCCGACCGCTAATTTCAGCTCAGTCATGAGTCGAACTGTTGATATTATTGCTTATCAGCTAGCCCGAGTCAGGTGTTCTCGAGGGCGAAAGCTGAAAATCAGTTCAGACAATCGTTTCATGTGGCAGGCAGGGCATTATTCCTCCATTTTGTTTTCTTTCGTGCTAGCAATGCATATTGCTCACTCCTCTGTCACTCAAATTTCCGAATAGCCAAATTCCCGAACACACCATTTGGCATGGGGCATGGTGAGCACTAGGAGAAGCTACCATTTTGAGAATAACGGGGCTGATTCATCATGGATGGAAGACCAATCAGGTGAATGCCGGGCTGAATACCGAAATCGGGAGACGGGACTGACCCCCTGTTCTGTTTATTTTTTTGACAGCCTTCTTTCCTCTAGTCATCGACTCAACCATTTGCCGTCCTTCATGCACCGGCGATCGATGATTTCATAGCCCGAGTTTTAGGTACAAGGAACAATGCCGGGCACCTTATCCTCAACGAGCTGTATGCCATGTAAAGTGCAGAAACGCAAGGTATGCCGACCCAATTTACAGTGACGCAGGTTGATTTTGCAATGTGTTCCTAACCACAGTCAAACCCCAGTGTGACCAGACCTGGCCGGCTTGCAAAGCCTGCCAACGAAAGAAAATCGAGTGTCCGGGGCCCAGCTCCTTGCTGAAATTTGTCTACGGAGGCCCACGTGCAGACCATAAAAGTTCTCGAGTAGAGCCCTTCTACGAAGGAACCATTTCATCAGACACGGATGCACCGACCGGTATCAAGGAAAAGAGGAAAGCCATCTTCGCCGGTAAGGGCTCAAGTAGACGCGTACAGGGATACCAAAGTGCTTTCCGTTTAAGTCCGCGTCCTGTGCCAACATCTCAAGCAGAGCGGGTTGGGTCGCAGTTGGTCAGCCATCTTCAAAGCCGCTCAGCTACTGATATGGTCTTGATGGGATTTCTTCCAGACCTACCTAGGTATTTACCTAGGAGCAAAACTCTACAGGACTCGGTGAGCCTGTTATGTTCGCTTTGGACTAACTGCCGCCAAGGCATTCCGGCTGTTTTATCTGTCGAAATGCCTGCATACGGAAAAGCCCTTGGGAGCCTGCGGCGTACGCTGGAAAGAAGCAAAAAGATGACCCTACAAACCTTGGCGTCTGCGGCGATTCTGGGTCGCCTAGAGTACTCATTTCTACCATCCAGCGGTTTAATGAGGTTTGGGGTTCATCCCCGGGGAATTTCGATCATGACACAGCAACTAGGGCCGCCTGACAGGGATGATATAGTTTATGCGGCTATTTTAAGAGAGACATACAAAGTATTGGTAAGTGGAAGCCCGTTCAACTATGCCGAGTTGTCCAACCTAACAAGCACGTAGACTCCTTATTGGTTCTTCACTGGCGACAATGTCTTCTTGAATGAGCAGCAATGGAAACAACCTATCCAAAAGAACATTATTCAAAAGGTCGGATCCAGTAGTCTAGAAGCCCACGAGGTCCCTGCCATGGAGGTAGCTGCACGCCATTTCGGCGGGATGTATGCCCAGCTCCTCGACTGCCATCGGATTAGATCAGAGCCACACCAGCCGGCAGCAATCGAGGATAGTCACGGCGCTATCAAATATGCCCGTGACCTTGAAGAGGCCGCCGCCGCCGCCAATGTTAATCTTTTACGCGCTGCTATTCAATCTGGGGAAGTGCAGGAGGTGGTCGACCAAAATTCGTTGCCCAAGATGAGCTATCAGATATCGAACATCCATCTCGCCGAGCTTCTACTCTTGTCGCTCCGGGTCCAGTTTCTCAATTTAAGGATTTACTACGACTGGGCTGTTTTGTACCACCTACCAGAAGAGGATAGGTTGTGCTCTAGACTCAGGGATCTCTCGGTTGAGTCATGGAAGTACATCGCCTTTCTCCGGGGCATCGAGTTCTTTGATGCGACGATGTTGTCTCCCGCCCTGTGGCCATCTCTGGAGCTTGGGACTGAAGCTGAAAAGCAGTATTTGATGGACTTCTTTACAGAGATTGACAATTTCCGGCATCCAACGCCAAAGGATAAGAAGGAAGAAGAGATGAGGATTCTATCATATACGGCCATCATTACGGGTCGCAAGACTGCTTCAAGAGAAACCTGAAACGTTGAAAATTTTGTATATATCAGATGCATTGCCACCCCAGAGCACAATTCAAAAGTGAAAGGTTCATGAGTAGAGTATCTTGATAGTGTTCGCTGTAGTGTTTACTGTGACTTTTGCTTGTACAGAAAGGTGGTTAGCTATCAGCGATGAGGCCGCCCAATTCTGTCACCTCATGGCAAATAGGTTGTTGGCAGTCTGGTATGTTCAGCTCGGTCAAAGTAAGCAAGCTCTTTGTAATCTGAGTAGCTGAAGAATCGTTAGAGTCCTTTTGTCTGACAGGTTATTCGCCATGGATAAGTCCCTTGTCTCCGAGGTTTGACGGGGCGGGATTAAAATGTTACCGATATGCAAATCAGCCGGCAATGTTGTTTGATATACCGATTCCGTCTAATTTTAAAATCATGGATCTCTAGGTTAGGTTAATTATGTTGCTGATGTCGCAGACGAGCTTCATCTGATCTAGGTTGCGAATTGCTACTGTGTCAACCAGATCTCGTTCTGGCTGCAGAATCTTACCTATCATTATTCGGAACTTCTATTATTAGTAATTCTTAAGGAACTACATGGGTTGGGTAAGTCCTCTTGGTTGCTTCGTCATTATATTGACGGATTCGAAAGCTCCGCCACTCTTTTCATGAATGAGGCCCCAATTTGGCATGCAGCTCGGCCCTGATTCCCCGCTGAGCAACATTTCCGCCGCTGTCAAGGATCATGAACCTCAAAAAGGTCCAATACTAGTCAATCATTTCCTTCCTAGGAACGGCGACAAGTATCTGCCTAACTTTTCTATGTATTAGCTGGCAAGTTACTGCCGCCCTCGTACATGAGCCATGCATGTGCATCGCATGCTGCATACATTTAGGAGGATTTCCATAGGCCGGTTGGCCAACTTGCCAACCTGGGTTGGGTATTAAGGCAACAGCTCAGCCAATATTTCCACAGCCTATCCCCCTTTGAGCGGGGCTGTACTGATTTATCGGTTATGATCCCTGAAGGCTGTAGCATGCGTTTGTTGATCGTCATATCGCTACCACCCAGTCACATTCCATGACCCTTGTCATGGTGTATCATTTCCTATCTTGGATTGACCGCTCCATGTAATGTCTTCTTATTGCCGAGGCCAAGATTAACAGCGGGAAGATCCAAATCATCGTGGATCCGAGGAGAAGAATACGATGGAATGGCCGGAAAGAATATCTAAGAGGACAGGCACGCTGTAGGCTGAGCCCGCCACTCCCGGGTCCTCCAAGTTCAACAACACTGCCAGCATGGAGATTTCTTTTATCTCCGTCTGGAGTCTCCTAACTCTTGTCTATTCTTTTGCCTTGCATGCCCAGGCGCTTCCAAGTCAAAATACTTTCGAAGTATGTGACACGCTCTACACCTCGTATCAACGCAACTTGGTTTGGGATCCACTGGGACCAAACGCAACCAAGACGGTCCTCAACTCGACTCTCTACTATGACACCAATGTCAACTATTGGAATCTTAGGAGCAAGCGCAACCGTGCTGCCTGTATATTCTACCCCTCGAGTGCGGAAGAGGTATCCTTCGCGATTCAGACTCTCAACAAGTATCCCGACGTCCAATTTGCGCTGAAGTGTTCCGGACACAACCCCAACCTTGGGTTTTCAAGTGTAAATGAGGGCGTGCTTTTAGCTTTTGACCCAAACTTTAAGTACTCTATCCCTTCGGATGATGGCACACTGGTTAGAGTAGGTGCTGGTGCAAAATGGGAGGATGTTTATGCTTCGCTTGACCCTCTAGGGAGAGCTGCAGTAGGGGGCAGACTTGGCAATGTCGGTGTTACGGGCTTCACTCTTGGCGGTGGTCTTTCGCACCTCTCGCCTCAATATGTAAGTTTCTCCCTTGACCTATTCTCACAATCCCTTTTCAAGCTAACTCCTTCGTCTCTCAGGGCCTGGCATGCGACAACGTGGTCAACATCAACTGTGTTCTAGCCAATGGCACCATCACCAATGCAAATGCCACATCAAATCCTGACCTCTTCTTTGCACTGAAAGGAGGGGGCAATCAATTTGCTGTCATTACTGAATTCACATTCAAAACATATGAAGTCGGAGATGGGGGCCAAATTTGGGGTGGCATCCGTACGTACTCAGCTGATAAACATGCCGCTATTCTTGCAGCCATCTCAAACTTCACGGCGAACAACGATGATGGAAAGGCTGCTCTTATTCCGACCTTCAATTTCTTCGGTATACTCGGAGTTAATATCCCTGCCATCATCGTCTTCTACTTCTATGACGGACCCCAGATGCCTCAAGGTATCTTTGACGAACTCGACGCTATCCCAAGTCTATATGACGGGACAAGGAAGAGAACGATCGCAAATCTTGTGCAAGATCTTTTTGCCGGCGATCTCGAAGGCCTTGGATTCCAAATCGCTTTCGGGTCGTTTCCTAACATGCCCTTATCCGACATGTCATCCTTCCTGCAGGACCACTTCGACCAAGCAAACGGGCTGGCCTCCAAGGCTGCGCTTGAAGATGTCCTCGATTTCAGACTTTTGACATTTACATTGCAACCATTCTCACGGCTGATATCCCAGGCATCGATTGATGCAGGCGGTAATGCTTTGGGAGTAACTCCCGAAGCTGGCGACAAGATATGGGTCGAATATAACGTTGCCTGGGCCAGCCCGGCCTGCGATGAGGATTGCCCAGCCTTTGCCAAAACAGCTGCCGACACCTTCCAGGAGCTACACAAGACGAAGTACTCTGGAATATACCCGACAAACTATAAATCAGGCGATCTGGAGTATCTCAGGTAGGTTCTGAATTAACATTATTTGTGATGGTTTAATACTGACATTCGCATCTAGTTACAATCCCCTGTTTATGAATGATGCTATCTCCGGTCAAGATGTACTCAAAAGCTACGGGGATGCCAACTACAACCGGCTGAAAAGCACGCACCTTGCCTATGACCCAGAAGGCCTCTTCAGCAGCAGGCAGAAAGGTTTCACTTTTGCCTAGTAGCAAGGCATAACTACATAGTTATTGACAGCTTCTCATTTCTCCTGAATAAGTACAGACTATACAGCGCGCTATAAATACTCTCTTCCCTTGTGATATGTCTCGCATGAGAATCTGAAAATATGAGTCAAAATGAGAAATAGGAGCCGAGAAAGGCTGCTAATTCCCGACAAGATCTTGTCCAAGGTCTAGGATCGCGTGGCGTAAAATCCAGTTATTGTAATCTAGCTGCTCTCGGACTCCAAAGTTCGAGCACAACTTTTAAAGCTGAATCACAGAATCTGGACCCCAATTTTCCATATGCTTGGCCTTGCCTCAAGGACTACGAATCTCTGATTATTGAAAGAGGTTTTGAATTTCTCGTCGTCGACCAAGGATCCAAGCGTTATGTACTACTCTTGAGCGGCTTACCTCTAGTAAGGTCACTCGGAAGATTTCTAATTCTAACCGCCCATTCACTTGGCCGAGCAGCGCTCTCAATTATGAAGACGAGGCAGCTAGCTTTCAGCCCGTATCATGTTGTTTCCCAAGGTGTCACTCCGCTCCTCCACTTCAGTCTCACCAAATATCCAGGTTTCAATATTATCTAAATCGATGTTTAGGAATTAATATATCACAGTATCGAACAATATTGTTTGGTATAACACATCATCGTCAAACACTCAGCCTGGACAAAGATGATGAATCAATTTGAAACACAACAAGCGGCATCGACCCAATGATATCAGATCACCGCGCCGGTTGCGCTACTATAGTTTGAAACAGTTACTGGGCTCAGTCCTTATCAGGCGCGGTGGTGAATGAGTTACGCCCATTCACTAGATCGAGACAGCTACACAGTTTGTTGATGAGCGGTTGTTCTTTGGCCATGCCCATAATTAGCCCCTTATCATCAACATGTCTCTTATCCCAGTACTCATCAGCTTCACATCTTGATGCTTTGTTTTTTTGTTCTCAGAACACTCTTTAAAAGATCCGCTCCTTGAAATGATTAAAGCCAAGGCTGTCTCTGCTTTATTTTTGGCAGCAAGTCTTCCGTGGGGATTTAGCTCTCCTGTACATCATTCGCATCCCCGGCTTGACCTTGTAGCTCGAGCAAAGTTTTCGCATCACAAGGTCTTTACCTTTGCAAACAACACCATTCCAGTGGGTCTGTATGCTACCGACAAAGGAGCAGATCCCAAAAGCGTATCAGTCAAGCATGGATACCTGGTACTTACTGTTCCAGGCACGGACACGACGTGCTATACGAAATACAAGTCAGAGGTAATCACGACCGTAGACAACATATTCTATGGAAGTGTGCGTACCGTCGCAATCCTCGCTGAGACTCCTGGTGTCTGTAACGGTATGTTGTAGCCGTATTGAGATTCACCGGGTAATTTTCATACCATAACTATTTCAGGAATGTTCTTTTACAAGTCTGACTCCCAAGAGACGGATATCGAATGGCTTTCCGACCGTAACAACAGATCGGACAATGGCACACATCATATTTGGTTCACAAACCAGGATAACAACGGCGACGGCAAGGCCACGACCTTTAAAGTGAGGCCGCCTAGAAATCCTACGAGGGAAGAGCACGAATACCGCATTGACTGGACGGAAGAAGGTGTCAAATGGTTCATTGATGGCGTAATGCAGGCGAAATCGAGCACGAACGTTCCGAACGTGCCGGGTTATTGGCTCTGGAATAATTGGTTTAATGGCAACATCAATTGGTCGGCTGGACCTCCAGCTTCAGAGGCTGTGTTGAGAATTAAATCAATTGATATGTATTACAACACTGCATGAGTGTACAGGGGAAGTATGGGCAAGCTCATGTAAAGAGAATGGACCAAAAAGGTCTTGTGAATTAGAGAGAACTGCAGGACATCTTTTTGGTTTTCAGCAAACCGTCTCCATGGCTTTAGTCCAAAGTTCAATATGCTCTCGTCGTTTAATCCACATTTGCTGTTGGACAGTCATGCTGGCACTTCAGACATAAAATAATGTTGTTTTGCTTTATGCAGTGCCTGATTTATGCACTGACTAGACCATTTCATAATTACTCGTGCTGTAAAGAAGGAAGAAGTGACAAGTATGTCTTCAAAAGCCTAAAGCTTTAAGCAATGAAAGATATCCCAAGAAGCTATATTATGTTTGATAATTGTACGGTGGACTGCGCTCAACGAGTTTTGTTATGTGCTGAACAACACCTACGACATGGACGATTATCGGGTGATCATGGTACGATTTGCCAATATCTCCATCTTGCACATAATGGCCCATGCGCCAAGCGCCCTGTTCATATAGGGACAGTAATACGACTAAATTCTGGCAACAGGAGGTGCAGATGCCGTACATCATGTGCCAGCTGCCATGCGTTTATCCTACAGAATAGCTAGACTTGGAAGCTGTTGCCTCTTACTTCAGGTCAGTTTAAAAGCCTTGAGTTCGCCCACCAGAGGACTTCAATCCTGACCTCTTGAATGGGATCATGCATTTTCTTCCTCTCCACAATAGCTTGGCTTTCACAAAGGAAGATATTCTGGTCCTTTCCTTATTACTAGTATAGTTACATGTGATTTAGGATAGCTAGTTCCAAGCTAGGAAAGCCTATTCCTAGTTATTACTCTCTCTTCTCAGCTGATGGCTAAAGACTCTCGCGCAAGATATTGATCTACCATTGTTGCCTTTCCACCTTTGTAGGATCTCGGGGCTCGTATCCGACTTCGATTCTCTGGTCTTTCTTGATACCCATAACTCTTCTAGGGGCAACAATATTTTCTTCGCTGTCTCCTGCAGATGTATGAATATCGTCAAGCCTGATCGGAGGTCCTTTGATGTGATCCCGAGTTCCCGACCGTGAAGACACCAACGCCTTTGAACCAGAATAACCGCCGCTACTGATGTCGCTAAAGCAGGGCACTTTCTTCAACAGAGGTCGGAGCGCAGTGAGTGCTGCAGCCAAGATACTCAGGCCGATTTCTAGGATGGAGCTGGATGCTGCGTTAGTCTTGCCGACAAGTACCGTGATACTTCAGTCCACTTACTAAATTGTTGCTTCCAGAGTCTTCTGGATGATGCTAGCGCTAGCAAGTCCTCCGTCCGCTTGGATTCGGGTGACTTCGACAACGAATTTCAGTCGGATAATAGTCGCCACGGAACTCCTGTATTTAACCATTAGCCACGGAGTAGAGAACCGTATCCAAAGAGAATCCTTACACTGCACCTAAACCCAGGAGAAACATTACAGTGACTTTCACTTCCATACGCAGTTGAGCTTTGCGGAGCATGTACACAGGCAACAACTACAAGTTGAAATGTTAGCTTCGATCGTTTCATCCTTCTGGAATTTTCTCTCCTTACACCATATAGCCAGCTGGCAGCAACGTCCTGCGCCGACAGAGCAATTCCAGCATTGCCGAGAACGGTAGAGGAGATGCAAGTACCCTCTCCTACACCCCAAGCTACCGATAGCGGGCGGCATTGTAGCGCGTATAAGAGGGCAGTTGCGAAGCACCAGAGAGTGACGATAACCATCGAGATTATCAGTACCAGTCGGATCTGCTTCAGGTCGGATCTGTCTGAGAGTCGATAGAGCACAAGAGCAACGCCGAGTTTCGATATGCCAGTCGTGAGAATGTAAACGATTTGGGCGATGGTAAAGAACTATGCGCAAAACAATAAACTACATTAGCCCGCGACCTTTAACATTTCATGAAAGACCTTAGGGGAGACTGACCTTTGCTGCTTTGATCAAGTCAAAGCTGGGTTCCATAGTGGTTGCGCCAATACCATTGTCAATCGCGACAAGCTCGAACGCAACAAAGATCACGAAGCCGACCTTCGCCTATTAGCATATGGTCAATGTCAACATTGAGTCTCGGGCGATCAGCTTACAAACGAGACGGCCATTGCAGTATCGTCATATCCAATCGCGCTCTTGATCCCCCGAGCCCAGAAACGCAGCCCGACGGCGACGGCGTTCACCACCATGAAGGTGATACCGATCGGGTAGTAAGCATCTCGGACACTACTCATTTTCGAGTGTTGACGGTCGTCTGAGGACCGATTGCGCGAATACTGGAGAACGGTAGTTGAAGGGTTGGAGCATTGGAAGGTCTTGTATACGTCCAACTGCCGAGCAGGGCCAACGGGAAACATTTTCAGACTGGCCAAATGGGCAGAGACAGAACAGAGGATAAATCTCTGGCATAGTGGCCATCCCAGGTTAGTCAGATGCAACTCTTTTCCACAAACTACACTCGCTTGCCCATGCCTCCCCGGGCTATAATGTTTCATGCAGCATACTCCTGAGAATGCCCTCCTTGAGAGTTCTCGTCTCACAGCCACCCCGGCTACTGTCCTGTCCATATATCTAGCTGAAAGAAGGCTAGGTTATAGCTAGCGACAATCAGGGGCTTCTGAAAGAAGTGCCGTATACCGTATACAAGGTTGATCCCTTGGGTGTTTCCCTTGCTAGGCCCAGGCTAAAGGCTATAGCAACCCTCAGATAAGCCGAACCCTAGTGCCTGGCTTCACCACGAATTCCCTCAATAATGCAAGGGCCCGGGAACGGAAAGTTGCTATACGCCACCCCATGAGGCGAAGGTGAGTAGAAATTGTCCATCTCCTGATTTCAGCACTGAACTTTCAAGGCTGTTGAGGTTTCACCCATCTCCCAAGCAGGAGCAGAACCAAACCTTCGGGCCTACCCCTTGCCAGTGGCGTGTCGGGCTGGTACCCTGGCCGATAGGATACTAACACAGTTATTAATATGTGTGGGAAGCTGCCAGCACTCACTCCCAAGTGCCTTCTACTTTGCAGTCCCGAAGAGTATATACTTTGGGGGTCTAATCAGTCGACCCCAATTACCTCCAGCTGCGACGTTTTAACTTTTTTGAATGGGTTTGAAACTGAACAACATCGGTTATTTCTGGCGCGCGCGTATTCCTTCGACGGGTGATCAACCAGCATCAGTCACTAACGGAGGCGTAGCAACTTCCGAAATTGCCCTCACCTCCCGGTTCCTCTCAGCTAGGACAAAAGAACAAAAGTGGCTCCGTTGTTGGAGACGGAAAACTTCCCCGTACATCAGCGGAGACATTTTCAACGGTTTCTCCACATATCTAGCCTCGTTCCATGTTGTATTTGCCGTGAGGAGATAACTTCATCCCCTGGCCAAAGGGCAGTAGGATCGGCTAAGTAGATAGGCTAAGTAAAATGCGCTGATTCCAGTGCCTAGCGTGTCAAGAAACAAAACCGGGGGACTTTCCGATACGGCCATACTCCTGGGGGACACTGTCCATACGCAGTAACTCTTCCTCAACCAACTTAGTGCATTCTCTCCATCAAGCCAGCCATACATGTTTGTTGTCTGGTCACCCTTGACGAGACGAACATGTGGAAACGGTTTAATCTCCACATTCGATGATACTATGTTCTTATCATATTGGAATAACGTGGACTAGTATGGGTACAAATGGCCCAAGCGATGGTAACTCACGTGGGTAGGTGGTCGTGCCTCCTGAGCTTGGGGAAAGGAAAGGCGGTATAAGGGGAGGAGCTCAATCGACCCTGAAAGATTGCATTGACTTCATCCTATACACTCCTAATTTCTTACGCAAAAATGTCAGTCATCAATGGTACGAACGGTGTCAATGGCACCAACGGCGTCAACGGTGCGAGAGACGTGCTTCCGCTGCCTATGGTGCCCGAGGAAATTACCGCTGAATGGCTAGGAAAAGTCTTGCAACAGAAGGTGAAGTCGATTGACATCACACAGAGTATTCTCGACGCTACAGCTAGCAAGATCTTCGTCACCATCACCTACGAAGATGAGAATGTCAGCACACCAAGGCCAACTTATGTCTGCCTCAAGGGCGGGTTCAATCCAGCTATGCTCAACTTGGAAGGCTATAGCGACATTTTGAAGTTAATGTACTCTCGGGAGGTCAAGTTCTTCAACCTCGTCGCCCCAAAGCTCAGCAATATCTCCCTCCCCAAATTGTGGTGGGCTGGGGAGAACCCGGATCAGGGTCAAGCCATTGTTATTATGGAGGATCTCAGCAAGGAACATACTTTTGGTGACCCTGTCGATGACTGGTCCGTTGATCGTGTCCGATCTGGCCTCGAGCAGCTCGCTGGTCTCCACGCCGGGACTTGGGGTTCCACCGTCAGCGGAGAGAACTCCTGGCTAACTCCTGCATACGAACATGTCATGATTGGTCTCACGATGAACTGGGAGGCTATGGTACTCGGCGATGACCGCCCACCCATCCCAGAAAGCATCAGAGTCCAGGAACGTACGGTTGCCGCCATGAAGAAGCATTTCGCAACCAAAAACCCCAAATACGTTGCCGTTCTTCATGGAGACCCTCACTCGGGCAATACATTCCTTGACAAGGCGGGCAAGCCATACTTCCTCGACTGGCAAACCAACCATATCGGCTGTGCCTTCCATGATGTTACGTACTTCATGATCGGCGCCTTGTCTGTAGAGGACCGCAGAGCTCACGAAGTTGAGCTGTTTGGCCATTATCTTCAGGCTCTGGCCAAGTCTGGAGGTCCCAGCCTCTCGGTAGAGGACGAGGAGGTGATGAAGGAATACAAGAAGTCTGCCATGTGTGGAATGGGATGGATCCTCACCCCGTATCAGATGCAGCGCAAGGATCGTGTGTGGGCTATGTGCGCGCGGTATACGGCCGCTATGGAGGATCACAAAGTGATTGAACTCGTGGAGTCGCTTCCAGAGCCCTCCGAGCAGTAGATGAAGTCACCATGTATATCATAGCCAAATACACCGGACATGCTGCCATCGAATCGCCCGTTAACTATCTGAATCTATCTACTATCGACCCCACTTACGGTGATTAAGGCCCCGTACAATCCTTACTACTTTTGCTCTGCAAAATTAAAGCCCATTAGGAGCTCCATCGATCACAATATCATGTGCAAGCAGAGCTATTTCTTAGGGGCGCTATGACCACAGGACATTATTTCTTAATATTGTCTCTAACTCAGAAAATATACCGCCCCTCGTCTCAAAGAGTTTATTATTTTCAAAATTTATGCATCATTTCATCCTTCTCCCCTTGTCCCCATAAGCGTCGTCAATTTGTAAACATTCCTCCAACACATCGACTAGACCCTCCATTCATAGAGTACTCTTGATCAGGCGCTCCAAGATTCCAAAATTTTGATATGATTACTAAAAACATCTACACCGACGCATGAACTTAATGGTTGCACGATTACATTCTTCGGAGAGCATCTGGTAGTTGAGTGCATGGTTGTCTAGGGTAGGTGAACCACCTGCACGGAAAGGTTCCGAATTTCGGCCCTGAAAAGGTGACACGAGTGCACGTGCAAGTTGGAGGTCGGAATGGGTGCGGAAAAGGGACTTGGGAAACGATCAGGGTGCTCAATCCCCGTAATAGCATTGCTTTTATGAGCAGATGGCATTGCTGGAAGTTGGTTAAATAGTCAATACGTTCACTGGTGGTTTTGATTACCCGATATTTAGAATTCTAAAAACCTTGAACATTTTGTTGTCAGCTCACCGCTCAACAGTCATTGGGCTGTTTGATCACTGTATAAATAAGTGTGTAATAGAGTCTCGTTTGCTTTAATGTCAAGATGTTGTTCTCAGCTTCGTTGATGGGCCTTGCAACGGATGAATCTTCACTATAGCACTCTCCATGAACGGCTATCTCTCAACTCCAATTCCACGATGACTCAATTCAGGAAGAAAATGCCTTGACAATAAAATCCTCAGCCGGCTCGATCCACTCGGGGAAGGAGTATGTAATATGGCCGTAGGGGCATGTCGTTCCCGACCTATCGCACGCCTGACATGATCAATCAGCATCTGGCTCTATGTCCGTCATGTCAGACGGTGTTTGTGCTTACAAAGTCTCCCGTCGCGCAATTTTCTAAAAGCTTCGCCTCCAGCTCTGCCGGAATCTCCGAGTCGATTTCTGGGTCTCCAAATAGGACAATTGACTTGACCTTTTCGAACAGAGATTCCGAAAGGTTGCCGATCGCGCTGCGCATTACCATGGCTCCTTGGGAGTATCCAACCAAAGAGAAGGTTTGATCAGGGCAGAGTTGCGACTGGCTTTCGATTCGGCTGACAACGTCGAGGCCGCCCTGAGCAACTCCATTGGCAAAGTCGGAGCTTGCCGGGTACTTTGATTTGTTGGTAAATCGTCAGCCTGTATTCTTTGCGTAGTTCTCACGGAAGGGTACGAACTTGAACTGGATACCCTCGACTACCCGGAAGGGTTTCGGTGACGTTTCCGATGAGAGGGTCTCCGATACGATAGCCAAACTTGCCAATCTCGGAAGTTCCGCGAGCTTGAAAGACTTTAGCACAATGTTTCTAGCCTGGAACAAAGGCGTTCGGTAACAGCAACTCAATACTCACCAGCGAGAATCTCGAAATCAGAGCACCCATTTGGAATGTCTTCTGGGCGGACTGGGACCGGAGTTCCGAACGATGGCTCATTGGGATCTGTGCCGGGGTTAGGAGGACACTCCTGTCCCAGGGTCAACAGGGCGAAGAGAAGAATGGAGCTGGCAACGCGAGGAACCATGGTGATGTCAAGTAAGAGTTTCTGGGTCCGATGCTAGCAAAGACGGTCTAGTATTTGAGAGATGACATCTTATGGTACGATATAGCTCTCTTATATACTTGCCATGCTTTACCATCTCCACAATGTCAATTTAACCGTGCAGGCGTGTCTCATGACATACGCCAAGTCACATAGCCCATCCCGGACGGTGGAGCAAGTTACTTCCCCATTTTAGGTACGTCGAGGCCCGTCAAGTTGGATCGTCGTTTAGTTTTGGCGTTGCATCGCCGGCTTTGGTGTCACATTGGGCGAAGTGGATATATAGACCAACTCCTTTATAGCTCGAAGCCCCGCCGATTCACATAACGGGATGAATAGTTTATTCGGGCCTACTCGGATCTGGATAATGTCCTCTGTCTGTTTCTTTATAGAATGTGTGCCGGCGATGGGGGGCATTTGACTAATTTAACCAGGAAAGCAAATGCTACGCACAAGGATGTTTCCGTGGAAAACAATAGGCCGAGGTCACCCGGGCGGGGAACTGGTTGACTGGGTCCTCCGGATTCTGTGACATCGAGATGCGGTCAATAGAGTGGAAACTATTCTCTCATCAGATGAAACGCGATGAGACAATTTCAAAAAGCCTCATCTATGACTGAGGGAAATGCTGATATGTTAACGAACCAGCCACTGATATCTCGACAAGCAGGATCTCGACTTGACACATGATGGCGATGAGTTCATACCTGTCTCTCGTCATCGAAGGCATGCGCTCCCCGAACCCCAAATACAATCACTGGGCAATGCAAGTGGGCGGTTTTGTAGATTATTGGATCAAATCAATGTCGAGCCAAGTGTTATCAGTGTATCTTACTAACTGTACAAGCCGGGAGCAAATTGAAAATTCAGTACATAAAATAAACTTCCTTTTTAAGTATTTCTCAGTTATCAAGTAGAAAATAATGTTTGAATAATGTTTTATTAATAATGTTTTATTATTTAATTGAGGAATAAGAGCAAGTTACCACGGGTTATTGATCCGTTATGCCAGAAGGTTTAACAAGGTATCATTACTGCTCTGATGTGCTACGAAAGCACTCGCCAAGTCATTATGGGTTCCTAAAAATGAGGAAACAGGATGCAATCATCCAGCCCCCGCGACCTCCCACACCTTCTCCTATGGATATGCAATGTCTTCCAGCCATTCCACAATGTGTTCACCTGCCTTGGCGCCCTCGAAAGGAACTTTCAGCCTGCTCCACGTAATCTCCGGCGTGTCGAAGTGTCTTCTCCATCCAGCTGATTGCTTTATGACACACGGACCCCGTAGAGCCTCCGCGGCAAATCTCCTAATCGCTTCTTCGGGTATCGTGCTTTCGTCGAGAAGGATCTCACAGAGATTGGATCGCGGAAAGCGTCCTGGCCAGTAGAACCCGTCGTCGTGATTCTGTGGCGTCTCGAGACATCGGAGGGTGGGCAGTGCGATGAATGGGGCGATCGAATCCAGGTCCAGCCCGTCGTAGCAGTTGAACACGTCCCCCTTAAGGTGTTCTAGACGAGCAAAAGGTCGGCCGCCACGGAGCGGTGTGTCTGGGCGACGATGGACCCGGTTCGCTAGCATCATCAGCCACGGTGCCTCCTCAATGCCGCCCCAGCACCCAGCGGTGAGTGTGAGGACCCGAAGGTTGGGGAGATGACACATGAGAATGGCCAAGAGAGCCGACTGTTCAAGCCTCTCGACATGGTCAAAAAAGTCGTCCTGGTATTCTGTGTGCTCTAGATAATCGAACCAGTCGGAAAAGGTCGTCTGTGCTGCTTGTCTGATGAGTGAAACATCAGCGACAGACACAATGTCATCTTTTGTCTTTTCTTCATAGATTGCTAAAAAGCGGTTTAGGTCAAAGCCATTTTGCTCAATCTGTGTATCGAGCTCTCCCACGTAAGATGCGAAGAACGGGTCGCGAAGAACTTTCAGTAGTGGTCGAAGCCACGGTATCGCTTCATCCTCGACATAATCATCTGCCCTGAACTCTGAGGCTTGACGATAGGATATACGCTCTTTTTCTAGGCAGTTCTGGACGACCGCATGAAAGTAGTGAGAGGTAAGGTTCGCTGCCTCCAAGTCGGGCAGCGAAAGGTGGGAGAGGATCGAGTGCCATAGTTCAGGAGGTAGCACTGCGTAAGTCGTCATTTTGATAGAGGTTGGTCAGTCATGAAACGTGTTAGGAGAAAACTTGTGCCGGTCTTAGAATTTGAGGAAGAAGAGTTGACTCATTGATGAGATGACGACGACGACTAGAAGTGAGCTGAAAGTGGCTGTGTGAGCCTAAAATTAGAACAGCAGCTTATCAAGGATACCTTACCTCCACTTCAGCACAAAATCAAGTATACAAGTAGGTTGAACAATTTTCTCCCATCATAAGAAATTTGGCACGTTCCTTATTTATTTGTTTCCAAGCATCAACGTACCGGAACTGCCAATTAAATGAACATCAAGGAAAATGTACACAAATCGTGTTTTGCTCATGTAGTGGCTCTTCCATCTTCGTAGAGGGAGACGAGAACCGCTTCCAGGTCAACGAGAGACTAGGAGTTGAAAAAAGAACCAAAGATTGCAGCATCTGTGATCTGTGCACAGGCAACTTTGTTTGTAGTTTGCTCCCATTTGTCTGTTTTGACATAGGTACTATCGCTATTCACAAATCACGGACATTTGGGTTATTACTGCTTTCACTACAGTAAAACTCTGAGTGACAAACCTGGATTGTAAATCAATGGCGGCGAGTTCATTGAAGTAACTGAAGAGATCAACATGTTGAAGTATGGCTGTTTAGGGTAGGCCAGAATTCACTAACTATTAGCCGCCCTTCGTTTCCCTAAGCTGTCGTCTAATTAGGTAATACCCCGCATTCAATGAGATAAGTAATGTAGTCACGTGCTCCCATCTCAAGGGAATGTGATCAAAGCGACTTCACTGTGGAGAATTCTCCTCCATCAAGTTCAGAAGTCGGTTCGCTGAGCGCTGATGTATTTAGTACTACCTTGTGCCTTCTGCTAGTCGCACGTAACGATGCAACGCCGAAGACGCAATACCCCGGCATGTTATGATTGCCATCGCCAAAAGGTGAAATGTAGCGGAGGTTAGTAATAAGAATGCCTGCCCTCCCCTTTCTCCCAGTGATCAATGACGCGAATGGCATCTAGGGCAACCGTGTAGGCGATGCTCAGCAAGACAGAAAATTTGCACATATCCGGCTCAACAAGACACGATTATTCCCGTTCCTGCAAGTTACTTGCAACATATTGATCACTCGCTCAATGAGTTGACTGATGCTATCCGGGCTTCTGGAATCAACATTGGGACAATTTACTCTCAACAGTCTCGAGGTAGTCATGACGGTGGTCCCCAGCACTCTAATTCGAGACAAACGCACACAGCTGTCGATAAGATTATCAATAATTCAACCACAGAAGCCTTTCTACTGAAGTTCAGGGAAGCAGTGGGCTCCGCGCATTGCCCCAATGATTCTTCCAGTCCTAGGACAGATCAGTCGACTCCGTCAGCCCAGGAGTCTCCTCAATTAAGGATGAGGCTCGCCCGTTCATGTACGTGAAACTTCTTTTGGAGTCGACTTTAGCTGATGTCTTTGGCAGTCTCCGACAAAAACCTTCGACTTCCACCCTACTCGCATGCCACGCAATTGATGGCTAGAGCGGAAGACGAGTTCGGCGATTATCACACATTCCTTCGAAAAACCTTTCTGAAAAGGTTCCATGCCACGTACAGTGGCCACCACTCTGAAGTTAATGATCGAAACTGGTTGTGCCGTCTGTCGATTGTGCTGGCCTTGGCTGAGTGTAATACAACGTCCAGGCAGCCTGTTAAGTTGACCGTAGACGGCGAATTTACTGAGGCCTCCCCTGCAGCTCGCCAGGCCGCATCGGAAGGGACGACAACGACCCTGTCCACTGCAATTCAGCTTTTCGAGCAGGGGCTGCAGCTCTTGATGGTGGATCATGAAGAACCTACTATTGATGATGTTGAAGCTCTCAATTTAGTCGTGAGTAGCCTCCGTATCGCATTGTTGGTTTTGGCTAAAACAGACATCGGCTGCTTTTACTAGTCTCATTGTTGCTATGTTCTGAACCGTCGGAAATCAGCATACTCATTTGCAGGACAGAGCATACGTCTAGCTCATTGCCTGGGCCTAGATCAGCCACCTACAATGGCATCATTATCTAATCTAGAGATCGAACATAGGAAACGTGTCTGGTGGTCCGCTTTCTGCGTGGATCGAGCTATCAGCACAGAATTGGGTCTCCATCCTGCTTATTCTGGCGCAAGCCCGTGCATTGACTACCCATGCTCTGACAGCCTAACGAAAGAGGAAAGGGAGGAGTTTTACGATGCGGATCTGCTAACAGCACAGGTCAAGCTTTGCGAGATAAAACTGTCTGTAGCCGATACTGTAAGTCAGCTGAAAGCCAAAGATATTGCCAGGCCATACGAGATTTTGGCTCATTGTCTACAACAACTGGATCGATGTGGAAGAGAAATGCCCGAAAAGGTGTTCTCCGGAAGTGGTCCTGTTCAAGAACATCGCATCAGTTCATCAATTGCACTTAGATTTCATCAGGTATGCTATGACTACTGATTGAATTTGATCTTATATTGCCTAGCATACTGACTTACTAATTAGTGTTATATTTTGCTTCTTCGCCCTATTCTTCTTTATGAGTTCTCGTTCATGCTTCATCAAGCAAGTGTTACAGCTCTTTCTGACGAGCTTTGCACTGTTAATAACATATGTCTTCACGCTGCACGAAGCAATGCCAATATTATTCTCGAACTGGCCCAATCAGGAAGACTCGGTACGATCCTCTCATGCCTTCTCATGATCTAGGTAATTTCGTCTTTCTAACCTGTTAACAAGTGACTTATGGATACTGGGATTCGGCCCATCTTTTCTCGTCCCTCGTCGTTCTTGCCATCGCCAGGTCGATCTTCAGCAAGCAGCCAAACGCTTTCCAATGCACCGCAGACGACATGTCACACGATAAAACCACCTATCAAAAAGTCCGCCAGGTTTTGGTTTACATGGCTCGGAGCGGTAACATGGCTTCGAAGAACCACCTTAGCATGTTAGAGGAGGTTGAAAACGACGGAGCAGTTCTGTTGGATGTTCCAGCTATGGCACGAAATGATGGAAGCACGACGGTCCCAGAGCCAGCTGCAGAGGCCCCAGAGGTCGAGCTTGGATTCGAGGACTGGCCGAGCCTGTTAGGAATGGAAGACCCAACTTCGTGTAGGTTCATTTCTGGCTCAGAGATGTACTGGTAATTTCTAGTAGGCATTTTTCCGACGAGGCATATTAATGATGCCATTGTGTTGAGTTGTCGGGCTCTGGCAGCTTCCATTGCTGTTAAACTTTCTTCTCTTTCTCTTAGGTATTAATGATGCGGCGTGCTTCATCGGGATATTGACGTGCTTGTATCGATTTCCTAGTGAACCGCAATAGTATATTAAACCACATAGTGTGTATGTGTCTAATCAAATATTTGAATTGAATTATTGATTGAATCAATTCTCTGCTAGAAGTGGATGACGATCATTTACAAGTTCGCCCTCAATGCACGAGAGGGTGGTGATAAGTTCCGGTTTGACCTCTTCCACCCAGTGAGATCTCCAAGATCATCGTGGTCTTGGGGGTGAGGGTAAAGCATCTCACCCTCAGGAGCCTTTCCACTCTTCCAGCTCCACGCCGCAACCAGGTGGTCAGGAAGCTTATCCTCTAGCATATCAACTACGTACTTGCCAATGACAGGCATCATTTTGAATCCGTGTGTTGCACCACAGGTAGCAACATAAAGATTTTTTGTCTCTGGAAATGGACAGATGCGGTAGTGGTAGTCCTTAGTCGAGGAATCCCTAGCGAGAACCTGTTAGCTCATAAAGGTTATGATCAAGATTTGAAGATGTCAAGCCTACCAGCACATGCGGGTGGTGAAAAATTCCCTCTCTGCCAGCTCAGGTAGAACTTCACGAAGAAAGTCTCTCAGCCGCTTCTCCATCTCTATTGGGATGCCATCGGCGGGGTGAGCATTAAAGCCATGGGTGACTGAGGCACCCTTGACCGGAGAGTACGCATAATTGGTGATACCGCGATTGGTCACGATTTTCAGCATGCCATGCTCGTCTGGCGGGAAAAGAAGACCTTGTAGGTACTTCGAATTAGTACGGATCATAGACTGCGTGGTGTATCTGCCTTACCTCCAACAGCCTCATCAACAATGGGCATATTTTTGTAAGTCTCCATCTCAGCTGGCGTAAGTTTTAGGATGCCTACGCATCCTGCCACTGCGATCGATTCTTCCTTGGCTTCAAGCAATTCCGGTAGAAATGCGCCTGTCGATACGATGATGGTGTCAGCGAAATGGGCTTTCCCGCTTCTGCTGAGGGCGCCCACGCATTTGTGGCTATCATCATATAGGAGCTTTCGAACATCCCCATCTAACCCACTCGTAAACTCGACGCCTTCCTTACGCGCCGCGTTTGTCATGCTGACAAGGGCTTGAGCGGATGGGACCTGTTAATATGTCAGTGTGCCAGCTACGACATCCGTGGAGTAATCTGAACATACCCATCCAGCCTCAGGATTCCAGAGATTCTCCCAGTCTCCTAGCTGTCCTGAGATCTCCGGCCAGGCCGATCGGATTTCCTCGCCTTTCATCCATTTGGACTGGGTGAAGCCCAGGTCTCGACCTGTCTTGTATGCCGCCTTTAGCCAGGCCGTATCCTGCGGCGAAGCTGAACGGATCCAGCCGCACTTTCGATACAAATTCTTCAAGAAGGAAGTCTTGGACTCCCAAACTTTCATAGCTTCGAGACCCAGGCGGCCATAAATGGCGTCAGGATAGTCTGCGCGGACGACTTTGTTGAGATCCGTCGATGCTGCATCATGAGATGGCGCCTCGAAGCGGTCGAGGACGCGCACTGAGTCGTAACCACGGCAGGCAAGATGGTACGCAGTGGAGCAGCCAAAGGCGCCTCCACCGATGATAAGAACGGACGGTTTGGTGTCTGACATAGTAATGCAGGGATGAGATATGCTCTGAGATAGCTAGATAGCTAGATAGCCAGATAGACCAACGTTATTTGCCCAAGGCTTTAAATGTTTCCAATATTCTACGTGAATAGTCTGATTGCTCCGGAATCGGCTTTGTATCAGGGGTATCACTGGATAAGTGGCCGTATACGCAAAAAGGCATGGAGCCCCAAATTCGGGAAATGTATGGAGAACTACCCATCTCATGCCTGATACACACTTCTTCAACGATCCATCGGCCGCTACGGCAACAAGCCGTTTCCAAGTTTTGTCCTCAGGCGAGCATATGAAAGGCTGAAAGGTGGGGGTCAGCTAACTTGTTTTCGACTGATAACGGTGTTGCACCGTGGTCGCCGATGTGGGGGATGTACGTCGACTAGGCCAACAGGGACCTGAAAGTCGGCGGCACAGCCGTAGTTGCCGACGAGAGTCCACTATCTGTAATATCAAATTTGATAAAGTCTAGTATGGATGGTGCAAGGGTGAGCAGCTACAATCCCTTGGCGCGTTATTGGAGTAGAGATTCTCGATAAGCCTACCCCAAGATTTGCCTTTGGCGAGTCTGGGGATTTGGCTCTAGTCCTGGGCTTGACTAGTTCACCTTTCTGAAGTCATTGCTGGTGCAAGATAAAAGACTGCGTGCCACTCTCATGATTCTGCCCTCAGATTATTACTTGCATCTCTTTCATCAAGTGCCTGGGCCACTCTGTCGGATTGAACCTAACACACCTTCTCTTCTACTTTTGCAACCATGGCTCAACTGGTTGTCGACAAGCCAGCCTCTTCCGAGCTTGAGATTGAGGTACACGATCAACCTATGTCTGTAGTCATTGACGCCGAGAAGTTTCCTCTCCTGGCTGCGATGACTCAGGAAGAGCGAACAGCGATTGAGACAAAGCTACGATGGAAGGTTGACTTTCGCCTACTTCCGATACTTGTTCTCATGTATATCATGAACTATCTTGATAGGTGCGTGGCTGATGAGGAGGGGTTTAAGCATACAGAGGGCCAACTAACCCAAATACGCTCAGGAATACTATCGCGCAGGCCAAGCTGGGTGGACTGGTGGAAGACCTTGGTTTGACCGATAGCCAGTATCTTGTGGGGATTGTCATAACCGCCGTTCCCTGCAACAGTGCTAACAGTGGTTGGTTTTAGACATGCGTGGCGATCCTGAACGCCGGGTGAGTGCAACATATCAAAGCTGGCTGGTCCTGTGCTAACAATCATTCTTCCATCAGATATCTCCTGATGCAGGTACCGTCCAATATATGGCTCAACAAGTTTGGCAAGCCCGGGGCATACATATCATGCTGCATGGTGGTCTGGGTTCGTAACGATTCTTCAACATGTACAGGAAATTAAGTGGATTCATTCTAACGATCACTATCATTGCAGGGTGCTATCTCCACCGCTTCTGGTGCTACCCATAACTTTGCTGGGCTTTTCTGCGCTCGGTTTTTCCTTGGCTTTGTGGAAGCTGCCTTTTATGTAAGTCAGGTCCGATTCCTGGTGATTACGATACTGTCTAAACATGTCACAGCCGGGTGCGATGTTTACTCTCAGCACATGGTACAAGCGTGAGGAGTTGAGTAAGAGAATGGCCCTGTTTTACACAGGATCCCAAATCTCCGGCGCGTTTTCCGGGTTGATTGCTGGAGGCGTTGTATTTGGTATGGATGGGTAAGTGTGATATGTCGCGTGCTATTGGTTCGCCATGGGCTACTAACATTTTGGGCAGTTTACGCGGTCTCAGGGCTTGGAGGTGGCTTTTCCTTCTCGAGGGTGCGGCCACCATACTCATAGCCATGAGCGCATTCTTTATCCTCCCAAACTTCCCTCAAACAACCAAGTGGCTCACCCCAGTCGAAAAGGAGATGGCGGTATGGAGACTCCAGGCTGATATCACCCATGCTGAGTGGACATCTTCAGAGGAGCAAATAACTTGGAAGGCCTTCATCATGGCCATGAAGGATTGGCGCAACTGGTTCTTCGTGGCCATGGTTTATGGAACCGGGGCCAGTCTTGCTGTGAACAACTTCTTCCCTTCTGTCCTCGCTACGCTTGGTAGAGGCCGCGTGGAGACGCTGCTTCTCACAAGCCCCCCATTCCTTCTATCATGCATCACGATGTTCATCATTTGTTGGAATGCGGACCGTACCCAAGATCGCTATTGGCATTTCACAATCCCGCTGTGGTTCTCCTTGGCAGGATTCATCATCGTGGCCGCTACGACTAATTTCGGTGCACGCTATTTCGGCGCCATGATCATGATCCCAGGAATCTATTCTGGATTCAACATGGCATTTGCTTGGACTGCGAACACGATCTACGGACCGCCCGGCAAGCGAGCAGTTGCCATTGCTTTTAACAATGCTTTCTCTGGTCTCGCTGGGTTATATTCCGCGTATCTATATCCTTCGAACGCTGCCCCAAGGTATGCTATTGCTCTAGGAGTGAGCGCTGGTATGGTCTTCATGGCAATCTGTGCGGCGACCGCTCTGCATTTCCTGCTGGCTCGCGAGAACAGAAAGATCGAAAAGCAGGAACAGGAAAGTAATGGCGACGACTCTGTCCTCGCTCACCCACGTGGGTTCCGCTTCCTAACCTGAACAGCAATACTAAGACGGCTCCAATGGCCGTTGAGAAGCTGTCTCCGTCTTTCACCACAGTGATAGGGTGTGTAACTATGAGGGAATTCCTTTTCTACGCCATTCCGGGTGGTTCATGGTACTATATCGTCGATCTAGTGGCAGTACAACATAGAAAAATAACCATTCATATGTCTACTGTAGCGTGCCCTGGGTTCTGTTTAAAGGACAAATTAGATAGACATATCATGACCTTGACTTGAGCCCTTTCCCCAATGGCAACTATTCAGCAGTAAAAACGATCTCCTGCACCAGGGCGCTGCCCGGTTAGCAGTGTAGGCTTTGGCATATGCTTCCGGTGCGTATTCCAAATTATGTACTCCCATCATCAATCAACTCCTCCAATATGACAAATGGTCCTGGGAATCAAACTACTCAAAGTCTCACCCATATAATGACATATGGTATTCAGGGACAAGATTTCAAAGGACGCACAGGTAACCTGCCATTGCGTAGTAATCCAGAGTCGATGGCTTGATATGAGTCACTACTCTAAATCATACAGAAATCTATCGGGTAACAATAGCAACCAACCGATGTGTGATGTCCTTGCTCCCCACGCACTCTATTCACTCAAGGCGAATCTCCTTCGTTAGGGGGTTCGTCAGGCTCATCTACAACCCAAAACCCCTGAACGGCACCAACCGTAGCAACCGCAGCCAGAAACCACCAACCAAGAGCTCTAGACCCGACACGGTCACCAAGGCCGATGAAGATACCCATGACGGCCGGCCCAAGAGCCCGGGCCCCAGCTGCAGCCGTCTGGCCAATGCCATTAACTATCCCAAGCGTGTTGCGAGACGGGGCGGCCATGCTGAGCAGCACGGAATTTTCGTTGAAGGAAAAGACGGCTGCCACAACCTTGGCTAGCAGGACTGCGGATGCACCCGTGATCGGGATCCAGGCTGGTGAGGCTGGCAGGACGGAAAGATAAGGTAGGAGGAGATAGATGATGGGGTATATCATGACGCTGCCCTGAAGGCATAGTAAGCTTCCCAGCCAACGGTCGACCACCGGGAACACAGTGATCATTAGCGAAACAAAGACAATGCCTGCCGCGGAAATTAAGCTGGCAGCCAAGCTTGCCTCGAACCCAAGACCTCCATCGAGGTAGAACGGTGGGTGACTAGCTATGCGCGGTGTAACCATGAACACGGGGAAGATCTGGTCAAAGCAGATGGTGTGAAGGGCCATTAAGGCATACGATAGCACGACATGGATGACTTTAGAGGACATTGCGCCTCTGAAGCTAGGGCTGCGCGGAGGTTCTTGTGCTGAAAGGAGAGCCGTGGTCTCGCCGTCGTCCCCGCCCATTACCTTGCCGTCATCTGGCTTCTCCAAGGACTGCGGCAACGACTAGTTAGCGCCTATTCGATAGTCTTCGTGATATCTAGTAACTATACCTCTTCTACAAGAAAGAAAGCAACAGTAAAGCTTAGAGCAGCCATGGCAGACAGCGCGAGATTCGGCAGAGCAAACGGGTATGTATACAGCAACGAATTGGCGTCGCACATTCCGGGGAATTGACGACATGGCTGAGCCAGATAGCCGCCAACCAAAGGACCCAAGACTGACCCTACTTGATAGACAGTCTGGTTCCAAACAAAAGCGCGAGCTATAATCCCGTCAGATTCTCAATACTGACCCCGACCATGGTAATCTTCCATACCTTTATTTTCCCTTCCGTGTACAATTTCGCCAATGACGGTCCGCACTATGACAATGTTCCCGCTTAACGAGCCTGCTACCAGACGGAAGACAAACACGGCCGGGATGCTGCGGCTGAATCCAAGACCCAGCATGCTCACACATGTCGAAGCCAGACCGATCAGGATCACAGGCCGTCGACCAATGCTGTCACTCACGCGACCCCATAGCAGGTTCGTGCCAAATTGAGCAAAGGGGTAGGCTGAAAAGATCAGCGTGAGTATCTGGGCGACTTCATTATCGATCGCGTTCGGCTTAATGTCCTTGACCATGGAGAAGGCATAGGGTATAATGGAGTTCATAGACAGGGGCTCTACGAGCCAGCAGGCAACTATGGCATGAAAAGAAATCAAGTTAGTCTAGAGATCTCACATGATGAGGAATAGGAGGGGGTTCGTGTTCACGAAGAATGCCTAGCTGGGTCCTGGGAAAGTCGGGCTTCGCATGCGATCCGATTGCCATGGTTGCCTCTCAAGCTCTTGGGCTTTCTGGTCTTCGTATCAGCCTGCTGAGCTCTGTGCAGTTGCCGAAGAAGCTCGCTGGTTTCTACCACCGTAGATAAGGCACGCGCCATCATGGAAGTTGCGGAAGCTTGCGGATATATCATTGGTGTCTGGGGTGTCGTAATGCCTGTGGATCGTCTGTGTAAAATGGCAAAGAAAGCCGACGTGCTAAAAGTGACCCTTCTCCAGAAAGTTAGACTAGCACAAGGTTGACCCTAGAACGTTTTAGTTATCTATGGGGTCTTCACCAAGAGGGGTACAGTAGCACTAGACTATGCCAGGGAACGTCACTGTGGCAAGACACTTCTTCAAGACCCAGTGGCAGGGGTTGATGGGGTTGGGGTTGTGACCACTGCTCTTTAAAAGCCGATGCAATCCCTTGATGTGTGGATCTTGTCGCATCGGCCTTCCATTCCTAGTGACCTTGTCCATAATGATGAACACTCCAGGAGAACGCCGGAGAACCACCAAGGCGAGGACCGGCTGCTGGTCGTGTAAGCGTAAGTTCGAGCTCAGTCCATAGCCCAACCCCATTGGCTAACGAATCCCTGCATAGAGCGTAAGGTGAAATGCTCAGGTCAGCCTTTGCCCTGTCCCACATGTCGGAATGGTATGATGCTAACCAGCCTCGTCTTGTAGAAGAAAAGCCAGTGTGTAGATCTTGCGCCCGGTTCCGGCTGCCATGTCACTACGACCTACGGCTAAGGTGGCATACGAAGACTGCAGATCAGACAATCTCCAGCTCCGATGGTTTCACCTACACTCCGCAGCGGCGTGGGACACCGCTTCACTTTGTGCACTTCAGTGCGCAGGACTTTGCCCACACGGGAACTAGTAGGGGTGTATCCATGGACGCTGAGTTAGACGACGGCGTGAGTTCCTCATCCCGAAGGATGCTAGGGGGTGGGACCGTTTCTACATCCCCCTCTCCGTCGTCCGCCTGTCTCATAGTGGATGAGCCGTCGTGGTTTGCGCCACTCGAGTTTTCGTCTCCGCTGGACGATATCCTTTTTATGCATTGTGAGTCTTTACTGGCTAGCTCCTTTTCATTAAATTAAACCTTCTGACCAGGCCTCCCCAGACGTCATTGAGATATGTCCCAGATGCACCATGTTCAATGATTCCTCCAACGGATTCGAAAACATCATCATCCCCATGTCGACCAACCATGAATCGATTCTGCATTCTATTCTCGCTGTAGCCGCCTTCTACAGGTGCCGGGACACAGCGGGGTATAAAGTCGTCTCATTGACACAGAAAGAGAACGCTCTCATCTACTTACGCAGTAAGGTAGCCGCAGGCCTCGTAGCAGACTATGATGAGTTGATCATTTCGGCTATTATGCTATGTGTTTTCGAGGTCAAGGATGGGTCTGGTCCGGACTGGGCTAAACACCTCAATGGGGGCCGCTCTATTCTCCAATCCAAAGTTCAGGAGTGCGGCAGCCAGAAGTGGGCTGGAGGTATTTCCTGGTGGGCTAACAAGTTTTTTGGTTATCTCGCCGTCAATTGCGCTACTGGGGACGAACTGGGGCCTCCGGGGCCTTTGGAAAGACCCGAGTTCTGGCTCAGTCAAGGGTTCGGAGTAGAGGTGAGCTAGAATTCCTCCTAGGTGGGCAAAGTCATCCTCTGACCCAGAACGCGAAGGATATCGACGGCTTTATGGGCTGCTCAAGTGAAGCCATGGCTATTACGGCAGCCGTCTGTAATCTGGCTAGGATGAGAAACAATCACCACATCGAGGCCAGTGATATCGCCTTAAGTGGCAATGAACTAGAATGCCGCCTTTTCGATATCAGACAAAGGTCGACACAACTACTCCTCACGATACATGAATTCTCGGACTTGAGGGACATAGTAGCCAAGCTAGTGGAAGACCAATCATCTATGCCCCGCGCAAAGATTCTCGCACTAACGGCAGAGGCACGACGACAGGCCACATTCATTTTACTCTACGTCTGTGTGAAGGATATCCCCGTGCATAAGCTCGAAGTACAGGCTAGAGTCATGAACTGCCTGCTATGCATTACCACAGTTGCTCAACTAATGACTGCCGATGACTCCCCAGTCTGGGGGATGACGCCCATCATCTGGCCCCTCTTCGTCGCTGGAGCCTCGGCCTTGAGAGACGAGGATCGTTTTCAAGTGGCGGAGGTCTTTGATCAATTACAAAAGTCGAAATGCCTTGGTGTAAGGTTACCCCCGTGAGGTTTGTTAACAGGGAGAGCTGCTAATGACATCTTCGTAGAATGTTGCCCGTGCTAGAACCATGGTCAAGTCAATCTGGAAGCAGTATGACATGGGGACACATTTTCGGCAGGCCGAACTATGGAGGTTGTACGTGGATCCGAATGCCAAGTGGCCCTTGAGCCTTGCATGATCATTCTGAGCAGGGACAGGGACTTCTCCTGGGCTGTGAGACAGAGCAATGGAATTGTGTTCGAGCAGACGAAAGAACAAGCTAGAATGAGCTTTGTTAAACTTTTGAATGTATAGCCAACCCTTTCTGAACTATACTTGTTCAACAAACTGAAAGAACAGTATCGAAGAGACCCTAGCAAAACACGCAGACTACCGCCCTATAAATTCATTCTATGGACTACACTACTACATGCCGTCGCAAGAAGGCCAAGCCATACCCTGATAGAAGTAAGTTTTCCGATCATCAACAGATGAAGCATTAAACCTTGGGTAGTGCTAACAGCAGTCGCCAGCCCTCACTCGGCGTCCTTCAGCGGAACAGGTACTTCTATGTCCTTGGCTGTTGGTTGCCCAAGAACCTCCGCATCCTCCATGACCACCAGGTTTTCTTCAAGCTGGGAGAGAACCAGCCAGGTCGGATAAATGCAAAACAGTAGGAGTCCGAAATTGAGACCCATACTGACGAAGTGGTCGGCGTTGGTGGATTGCATCCTAGCCTTCGTCAGTCTATCACAGAGTTCACTGGAGGAGGAAGAATACTCACCCCCATGCAATTGCTTGCCCCATAGCCTCAAACGCCCTAAGAATGCCACAGTGGCGGTTGAGAGACGCGATGTCATTGGAGAGCTGACCAACCACCCAGTAGCAGAACTGCTGGTACGCTTGGCCGCCAAACACCCAGAACCAGATGATGGGGTACCCCTTGTTGAATCCATCCGTGAACCAGTCCCACACGGGAGGCTCGTTCATTTTGTTGTACTTGTCTTGCATGATGGTGACCCAGGTCCACGTACCCAAGAGGACCACAAGAATGGATGAGAATGCGATCTTCGCCCGGGTCCTAATGTTGATTCCTTGACGATCCAAGAGGTAACCGACCATGTATGAGCTCATGACACCAGCCCAATTTGTGACAAAGGACGAGAACGCCCGGGCCCGGACAGTAAAGTACACTGTAAGCCATGTGCTAAGAAATCCCAGGTAGAAGTAACTGACGAAGAAAGCAGGCACCAAAAGCGCCATCCGCTTGGTCCCCAAGAGCGAGAACACGGCCTTCATCTCGGCTTTGGTGGTTGGCTCCTTGTGAATAAGGATACGAGAGCCGTCTTTGCGCCGCACCCGCTCAGTAGGGCTCAGCAGGAACGCTACGAAAGGTCCCATACACATGATGCAGAGAAAGACAATGTAGGTTGCCCGGCTCACAGACCCCGCGACATTCGTCTGAGAGTTGAGAGCAAGGTTGATGGCACCGCCCAGAATGGGACCAGAAGCCTTAGCGGTCTGCCAAACAGCCAAGTAGAAGCCACGGTCCTGGGGATGCGGATATCCAATCATGAGCGTGGCTTCAGACGTGTAATAGAAGCCGATGGAAATGCCGCAGAGGGCGCTGCCCAAGATCAGGAACCATGTCGTGGGGCGTTCGTTGTTGGTGTACAGCGCAGCACCGTATATCGGCATGCCCGCGGCCCCGATGACCAGGGCATTACGCAGTCCGATGCGGTTATTGATGCCGCCGGCAATCAGGCAGGTGACGGCGAAGAGCGAGTACATGGTGGCATTGCCAGCAGAGACGGCCTGCGGCTTTGCTGCACCACCAGCTCCGAGGCCACCAAGGGCGTCCCACATGCCCGGGGCCGTGAAAGAGACAAAGCAGGCAACGGCAACCTGGAAGGCGACAGACCGGAACCAGAAGTGCTTCTGCTCTGGGACCTGAGCCCCTGAACTGGTAGACTCCGTGGTAATGTTGGTATTGTGCTCCATCTGGGCAACGATTTTGGAGAAGATAGAACAACAGTGGCTAGATAGTAGACTGGAAAAGAGAAGGCTTTCTAAGAGCTAGAGGAAATGATAGAAAATGTGATACGTGTGGGTTGGTGAGGTTTAAATATTCATCTTGGAAGCTCTCCAGACTGGTTCCCTGTTACCCCGGGTCTTTGCAAGTCGACCCCACGTATTGCTTCGATAACTGAGAGGCTTACTTTGGCGTCGAAGAAGCCAAGCAAAGGGTTGCATTGATATAAGTCTAGGAGTGGAGACACGATATGGGGGGGAAGTCTGATCCGAGACGGCAGGGTCTGACTTGCGTGTTCTAGGCCGAATGTGACCTGGTGATCTTGGTGCATCCCCATCCCTGGCTTCGAGGAGACTGTGGATAAAGCCGGTCGATACTAGCTCGCTTGGGAAATGCTCATCCTCGGGGAGCTCCCAAATCTAGTGGAGGGGTGGGTTTCTCAGGCTCCCTCGCATCCGGTTGCCTTTTTCTCAGCGATCGTCCCATGTGATGTATTGACTAGCAAGATAAGCCGGCAGACTTCCTACCTAACGAGAGATGGATATTTATCTATGTGAATGTCTTAATCTCCCTCACAACGCTCTCTATCAACGCTCGGACATCCTCGTCAATTAGCCCTCAAGCACTAAGTGTCAGTCGCAATCATGAACAAGCCTTCCGTTCTAATCATTGGCGGCGGTGTCTTCGGCACTTCTACCGCATACCACCTCTCAATTCGAGGATATCATTCCGTGAAGGTTCTGGACCGGTTCGACGCGCCATCCAAGGACTCAGCCGCAACGGACCTGAACAAGGTCATCCGTGTCGACTACCCTGAGCCATTATACACGAAGCTAGGTCTTGAGGCTTTGGATGCCTGGAAAGATCCCAGCTCCGTCCTTACCGGCCTGTATCATGAATCCGGAGTCATGTTCTCTGGGGAAGAATCTACTCACGCGTGGCTCGAGGCCACGCGCAAGACGATGCTAGAAGCAGGACGCAAAGGCGTCAAGTACATGACAAGCCAGGAGATTGGGCAGAATTGGCCGGCAGTCACGGGCAAGTTCCCCTCCTGGCTGAACCTTTGGAGTCCGGCAGGTGGATGGGTTAGTAGATCCGCAGTCCTGCAGATTGAATAATTGCTGAGATATATATTGTGTAGGTGCCTTCGGGTGAGGCTCTCCTCCGGATGGCTAATGCGGCTCGAACCAACGGCGTCGAGTACGTATCCGGCGATGCAGGATACACTAGGCGACTCGTTTACGACGGTAACAAGAAGTGCATTGGCGCCATCTGCAACGATGGTTCCTTTCATCAAGCAGACATTGTAGTGATTGCGGCGGGCGCTAACACGGCTACTCTCGTGGACGCAAGGAACGAGGTTGAAGCACAATGCTCAGCTATTTGTGTTCTCCAGCTAAAGCCAGAGGAGATAGAGAAGTACAAAGATATGCCCGTCATATCCAATCTTGAGCAAGGTACCACAGCCCCTCGGACCGGATGACTATCGTTAACAATACGCCAGGCATCATTTTTCCGCCAGTTCAGGATGGCTTGATAAAGCTAATTAGCTGCCGTGCGATTACAAACTACAAGAACAAGATTCTCCCCGGTGCCTCTGTCCTTCACTCGACTGGAGACTACCCGTTTGATGGCTGCCCCAGAGAGATCGAGCACGAAGTGAGATCCTTTGTTCGGGACACAGTGCCTGAGCTCGCCAACCGCCCCTTCATTTCAACAAAGCTATGCTGGTCAGTTCCAACGCCCCCTTCCCACCAACTCGATAAATAACCCTATCTAACTCCGATGCAGGGATGGTGTGGCCAAAGACCTGAACTTCAGGGTTTGTCCCTACCCTGACACGACGGGCCTCTACATTGGTACCATCGGGTCGAACCACGGCTTCAAGTTCTTGCCCGTCATTGGGAGATACGTGGCGGACATGCTCGAAGGCAACCTCGGCAAAGAGTGGTCTGACCTCTGGGCCTGGAAGGACGGGAGAGTGCCAGGGGGGAAACCCAACCCCTATCCCTTCCCACTTAGAGACCTTTCTGAACTCGAAGGTTGGAAGGACAAGCACAGCGCTGGGGAAGGCAGGCTACCCTGGACATGGAGCCGTTTGTAAGCTTCGAGACTTATATTTTACGCGCCGGTGAGAAGCTAGGCGCTGTAGATGCTCTGAATTTAATCTTACTATGTTGAAATGGGAGTACACGACAAGATCGCCATAAAAGAAGATTTCGACGAAACGTTTCAGGAACTGGAGGACTTCATTTTTGGTCGTCGCACGCTGCAGTAAAAAAGAACCTCACAATTGAACGAAGGGCATTTCTGCCGGCATGGGGAAACGCGGTTCCATTGAAAATGACTGACGAATTATTTATTTACTAACATAATGAATGATTAGAGGTCAGATAGAAAAACATAAAAGATCGATGCTCCCCTTCACATGTAATCAATTCATCCGTCTGATCAATCCCTCAGGTGCACCTCGCTATTGTCATATCGTTGAGGACCCATTTTTTTGCATGATTGCATCCGAGCAAAATGACAAAGCGAAGTGGAGCACTTCGGATGCAACTTGTATCCGATACTGACAAACCAAACTCTGTCACAGACTGATTTGCAAGCAAGTCTAGATGCCTGAACTTAAACTTCAAGTCTCCCGTATGTCTCCCGTATCTTATAAAGAGGTCGAACCTCTCCCCTGAGAAGAAATGGCCTCTACAACTAACAAATCCTTCTGCTTCGACCAACAACTCTTCAATAACACATCGTCATTCAACCGAGAACATGAGCACCTTCAAGAACGTGGCTATCTTTGGCGTATGTTGTGTTTCATCATGGACTGTCTCAGATTCCGAACTGACTCTTCTAGACTGGTTTACTGGCCAGTGCCCTTATCCCACAGCTGGCCAAAAGCGGCTTCAATGTGACTGTTCTGAGCCGCAGCGCCTCTAATAAGGAGTACCCCGAGCGTGTTCTTACCAGAATTGTCGATTATTCTTCTGTCGATAACTTGACTAAGGCACTCCAGGGGCAAGATGTTGCAATTGCCGCCCTGGCCATGCCTGCACTCCTTGTGCAAACGAACATCATCGAAGCGTGCATCAAGGCGGGCGTGAAGCGATTCATTCCTTCCGACTTTGGTGCCCTCACCACGAGGCCAATTACCAGAGACCTGCCGTTGAATGCACCTCTTAACACGATCCAAGATCTATTGAAAGAGAAAGCAGCAAAAGGAGAGATTGAATATTCCATCATCTCCCCTGGAATGTTTCTGGAATACGTGTTGAACACACCCCTGATCATCGATCTGAAGGGCCGTTCCATTAACCTCTACGATGAGGGGAAGCACCCATTCAGTACTACAAGCATTGAGTCTATTTCCAAGGCTGTCGTTTCCGTTCTCAAGGGTGGCGAGGCTACGAAAAACCGCGTTCTTTACATCAACGATACCACGACCACACAGGCCGACCTGCTTCGCTTTGCAAAGAAACACTCTTCAACGGGAACGGAATGGAAAGAAACACCCCTTGACGCACAGGTTGAGTTTGCCAAAGCGATTGACAACGCTCGCAAGAACCCAACCGATCCCACAGCACTATTCCCTGTTCTACAGGCAGCTGTGCTTGGAGGGAAGTATGAGGCTGCATACCCGGAAATTCATAATGAACTTCTTGGATTGCCACTTGTAACATCTGATGAACTTGAGGCCAAAGTGGCAGCCGCAGTTCAGGTGACGGAATAGTGAACGGGTCTTAGATTGTTTCTATTGATCGTCAACCGTGGACAGGGCTGTTTGTACGAGAGTACAACCAACGGCTGATATCCTGTTTAATTATTTCCTACATAACTCCATTCAACGATCAACTTCGTATAAAATTGATCTTATTGGTCTCACAACGAAGTAAACCCACCCGTATTGCCCTCGTGACAAAATTGCGTTTCCATCTTATTTGCGTCCACCAGACTCGTCGAACGCACTTTGACTAAATCCTCTTATCTATTACATCGAAGAAGGAGGGAAGTAAAACTACATATTACCATAGTAGAATAGTTGCAGATTCTTAGCAAAAATGAGTTTTCAATGGTAGGTCTTGGTGCAGAGGTTGGTAGGGCGATAACCTTTAGAATTGATGCCGAGTCTTTGAACTAGTTCTCTTATATCTTGCATAGTACTTAGACTGGAATGCAAGAAGAAATAATCGTGCCCGCTAAACTGAATGAAAATGTAAATCGCTCTAGAAGAGATACCAGCACTGGTCTAGCATCAGCTGCCAACCGTGGTGTCAACGAATGTATTCGAAAGCAAAATTATATAACTCCGGTCTTAGGATTTTGGGGATGAATGGTCCGAAATCTTCAGTTGATTGGAAGTCGATGCCAAGTAAGTTTGAGAATTCCCGAACTTTGGATGGCTCTGGCATGTTTCCTATGAGGCCCTGCGCTAGGGGCATGAAATCTTTGTACTGGCCGAGAAATTGAAGAATCTTCATATTCTAGTTAGAACGCCTGACAATTTGCCTAAGGAGATTCAAAAACGAGTTTACCTACCTTCAAGGGCCTGTCATCGCTGCTATTGGACATTGTAGGAGTGTTCTCCTCCGCCATTTGCTGTCCGGGCAAAGCAGTCGTTGTCAGGGCATAGATCTTCGATAACCCCTCGACCAAATATCCTAAATCGCAAAGCCGCGATTTTTGCGTGCTTTCCAAAAAGTTGTACATCGTTTGAATCAACTGATTGTTCGTGCATGCTCGTGGGCTATCCGGTGTTCGTAGTGTATCCTCGAGGAGCGCAAGAGATGCCCAGATTGGATATACCAAGATTCGCCTTCCAACGGTCAGCACCATTGATTTCTACAACATAACGTTTTCACTTACCAGACAGTTAGATACTGTTGGTTGGGAACATCCCGCAGTAGCCGAATTGTGGACTGGGCAAATGTTATGCCGGCCACAGGGGACCGCCGACCTATTCGTGCTAGTCTAAACTTCGAGTGGTAGTAGATGAATCTGAGATTTAGGATCGGAAATGAGAGTAGTTCCTCTAATTCTTCTGGGTTGTCACCGAAAGTCCTGGTCGCCCATGAATCAAGGTCTTCTTCCAATGACGTGTGATTTGGAGTGATATCTGTATCAAGATCGGCTATATTTGACTGAATAAGAGCAAGCTCTGCTCGGGCTACTGCATTGTCGGTATAACCCTTTGGTGCGAAATCATTGGTGCAGTTCACCAATGCATCTCTACTTGGCGGCGGCACATGGAAGCCCATCTCACGGATAGAGGGTGCAATGCCACACCGAAGAGATATTTCCACGTGAAGACTGAACGCACCCCACAGTATGAGGATATCTTCGACGGATAAATTGGAGACATTGTGGCTCGATGAGGTAATCGTTCGAATAAAAGTGACAGCTATAGATGACAGCTGGTGAGAGGTTCGTACGTCGGCAAACCCTTGCAAGAACATAACCATGTATGAAAGTTCTTGACATGCAGAGATGCAAGGTGGTTGGGTGAGAAGTTGAGGGAGCCTCGCATATGAGCTTTTGAATCGAGCCCACGAAATGGGGAGAAGTTCGCCAATGTGCTCGTTTGCTGCCTTGAATTGAACGGTTAGGGCTAACAGGGAGTTGGTGAGGGCTAAATTCCTCGATGCTGCTGTGCTGGCCTCTTGCTCCAGGACTTTCAATACCTGTGGGTCAGGTATCGCGAAAAAAGGGTACATTTCGCGAATATCCTCAAAGGATGACTTGACTAGCCCGACGTTAACATCGAACGAAAAGACATCCGCAAATATTTGCATATTGAGTTTGCCATGTCTGATAGTTGCTGTTGACTGGGCCACGGATCGCTCTGTTTGGTGGAAAAAGGGGAGGGGAATTTTCGAAGTTGTGGCTTGCTGAACCGTTCCGGTACTGCCCATTTCTAAAGGAGCCGAGGAGATGTTGTCATTATCTAAACAAAAACGGTCAGGCAAAGGTGGCATTCAGAAGAGTTGGACATTGCTTTACCTATCCGGGGGAGTGAAGCGGAGGGTGCTTCGTCCGACGATGCTGCCCTGGATTCACGGATATCCCCTCCCAGCCGTTGGACCTGCAGTTCAAGGTCCTTTACATATTGCGATCTATGGTTTGCATTTGTTAGTTCAGTAGAATTAAGAGGCCTTTTGCTCGATTGAACGTACCTCTTATTTGGGCCGCGCATTCGGCGACTTGGATAATCGCATTCAAGTCCTTGCCGTGAGCATCGTGCACACCGGGGTGAAGCGCCATCGCATCGAAGTTTCCTCTGTCGACAAGCAGTACAGGCCTACACACAGCCTAGTCAGTAGTGTTCAGCTCTAAACGCGAGGAGGGCGGTGTGATCAAACAAACAGTGAATATCCTCGAACTTGATTCACCTCCCTTCCGTGACCTTTCGGACATTACGTTAATCACTCGATAAGTTGAAGTTATCTAAATCTAGAAGGCTAAGTAGTGATATCACAAGGAAAAGCTTCTTTCAGTGCCGTTAGCCGTAATTTGCTGACAAATGCCCACTTCCGGCAGAAAATTTCTCTTAGCCTAAGGGTCTTTTCTATGTATGAATTAGGTGCGAAATCGTTACCACCATAGAGTCTGTATTTGGAAGAGTTATTGGGTATCATTGAATTTCATATCTATGTCAATCTGAGAGTAATGGACTCCAGTATGTCAAGAGGGGGGCCATCTTCGTCTCTGTTGGAAGCGGTAGAGAATTCATCTCGGCGCAATCGCATTCCCCCTGCTGTCTTCCACATCAAGGAGTGGGAAAGAGACAGGGTTCAGCGTTTAATCATCCACTCAAATGCAAGGGGAAGGATTTGCTGCGCCGCAGTCGTGGGGCCAACATGGACTGATGCGTTAGGCAGCCAGCCCTACCGATCGAGCATTCTTATATCATCTGTGATTATCCCCAGAAATCAATGGCCAGGATTTGCCGAGGCGCTACTCCTTCATCAACATGCAAACATGTTAGCTCTCGCTCCTCTCCTCCTGCTCGCCGTGCGGCCTGCCGTCGCCTCCTTTAATCTGGACACTGTGGTGACAGATTACTGGTATTACGTGCACAATCACCTCGCAGCTTCGACCTCGAAAGAATGTCTCGCCGCCTACAGCGCGACGATTGACTGCGATCAGACGCTTCTGGGCATGGTCTCGTCCGGCAGTCCCAACTTCAACCCAGACCTGGCCGCTGTTGAGAGCATGTGCTCGACCACATGCAAGGATTCCCTTGACTCGTACGTGGAAAATGTTAAGAAGGCGTGCACGGCGTCTGGCGACGGCGCCCTTTTGAGTTCCACGGCAAACCCTAGACCGCAGGTTCCTGTCCAAGTGGTCGGTGAGGTCTTCCAGTATGAGTATGCCTGGTCATGCTCGAAGAATAGGTGAGCTTATATCAAATCTCTCTTGGCTCATGCACGATGCTAAATTCCTGTCAACAGCACCGGGTGGTGTTATTTCAACTGGGGTTACGGTCGGGATCCGTATTACGCCCGCTCCGACTTTCCTTGCAATTCCGGATGCTCGATCAAGTTCATGGAGACGGCGCACGATTACCCCGGCTCACACTATGTTTTTATGACCTATACGCTTAGCGAGCGATCGAGCTGGTGGGAAAATGTGTTTGAGGAGGGATGGGAGACAGTCCAAGAGTGCCGCAAGAACGGGGATTCGGATACCAGCTCAGCTGTCTCTCAGAGCAGAACAACAAGTGGCACGGATATGTGGGGTTGGGCCTCAACATCGAACAGAAGGTCTGGTTTGTTTAATGGAGCTACGACCAGGACGCAGACAGCGACAGCGTCGGGTGAAGAGTCAGGCCCGACGCAAACCGTTACCCAGACACATGAGAACACAGTTACCCAGCAAGTAACAGTTACAGCACCTAGTGGAACCTCATCCAATACTTCTGGGGGTGGCAAGACACAGCCGGCCGGCGCTGTTATGTTGGCTTTCGGAATATATTTGTCTATTTTTGCGGTAATCAGCATATTACTGCGTTGAGTTTAGCTGGCCTTGCTATGCTCTGCGATGATTGATAGGATGTAGATAGATCGGAACATTACAATGAAATAACGAGTATATTCAATTTTTGATCAATTTCTGTATGAAACAGAGGTAATTGCTAGTGAAGGGCGCCATTGATGGGGAAAGCAGGACACCCGCTCATTTTCGCCCTAACAAGCCATATTGGCCCTCAAAATTTCGTCTTTTATCATAGAACACATTCTTGACGTGTACCATAGTGTCGATTGATGATTGTAGGTTCAGCAAATCAGTTGGGGATCTGATCTGTTTGACGGAATTTACTTTTAGTTGCCACCCTAGAAATCTTTTCTTGAACTACGCCCTTATTATTTTCTGGCGCTCTATACCGCCCTTGAACTTATTTTAACTGCGCTTATTCGTATAGCTCTATATTCTTCTGAACACCGCTTTGTACGATGCAACGATCTTCCCTCTTTCGTGTTGCTATGGAAAGTTGCCCTACCATCCTAAATTATCTCGTGCTTAACAATGGCGATTGTGCTTCCGAGCCCTCCCGCTTGATAGGTTGCGGATTTATTTTTGAGAGCAGATATGGAATTTGGAAACTTCCAATGTAGCAACATCATGGCCATTGATGCACGCGGCGCCGTGTCAAAAAGAAATAGTAACTAGATCCCCAGATAATGGAAATTTGCGGCAGCTGCCTAGAATCAACGATTGTTCCATTAACACCAGTCTAGAAGCGTAATATCCCGAAATTACGCATGTCGCGCCTGGATCTGTGATTTCCAGCTGAGCTTCATTAGCTCAGTCCCCGCTACTTCGCTTGCGACGAGGCGAGTGTGCTGGGGGAATACTTGACAGACTGGATAGTTCCGAGAGCAAACTCACCAGAACTAAACATGGGATATGAAAACTCAGATATACAATTACGGAACAGGCAAACAGACTCTGCTCAACGGACGCTCTTCATGTTCTAGAACAGGTGAGACATCCCTCGAACTAAACCCATCTGTTTCTTCGTCGCCTTATCTTTCAAATTTCTAAAATTTACGGCCATGTATTAGAGAATAGAAAAAGAATATGGTATGAAATCGTGGAGTTTTTACTGGCGCTCTTTAGAAACTGAGCTTGGGAAACTAGAGAGGTCGTCTTTGTTATGTTATTTGTATTCATTCAAGCGCGTAATGATAATTATGGTCTGAATAAGCCATTCAGAAGAGTTTATTGAGTTTTTAAGTATTGTATAAAACCGTCTGAGCGGGTAGTACGAGAATACTAGCCTGGTGTGGAACGACAACAATGCAAAAACAGAGCGCGGAAAGGCCAGACATGCACCATTCATTGTCCCAAGATGTATCCGAAAACTACAGTCAGTGTTAGATTAGATGCTGCAAGACGCTGGTCTTTGTGCCCAGCGTTCAATGACGCACGTCATTTGTTTCACGACCAGACTCAGTTGATTCACTGTTCCATTGCGAAATCCGCCCCATCAACAGCATATAAATACATAAGACGCTCTCTGCGCAGGAAGCCATATCGAGAGCTTTCCATTAACAAGTGTCTTTACATTTACAAATCGCGGCATACTCAAAACACCACTTAAACCAACTGTCAATTCCACTTTTGCCCATCATGGCCCAAGACGAAGAAAATTGGGGCTCTTTGCTGCCTGAAGTGACGGCGCGGGGATATGTAGAACTCCTACGACAGCACCTGAACAGCTGTCCAGCCCATGAGCTTCACAATGAGCTGATTTCGGAGATATTTAAGGAGATCTTCGACCAAACGTCCAAGGACCTAAGCCTAGAATTGGCAAAGGTGATTGTTGATCGCGTTCGTGTGGTACGCGCCGATAACCTCTCGTTCCTAAATTACGAATACTTGCGGGAAATTATGGACAAAGCCGTTGAGGAGGATAACGTGCCCTTGATGGAATACCTTCTTAGCTTGTCTGGAAGGCTTGAAGATGGCCAAATGCCGTCCTATCGCTGGTCTGATCGGTATAATCAAAAAGATATCAAGCAGATTGGACCCAGAAGCGCCAGCATGATGCGAGTGCTAGTGGAGAGAGGTTTCGATATAAACCAACGACCAAACAGCTTTACCCTTCTACACTTTGCAGTCACTAGTCCCTACGCGGATGATGAGACGGTCCAGCTCATCAAATATCTGGCATTAAACATGCTCGATATCGACCAGTTCGACGAGCATGGATACACACCTTTGCACGCGTGGCTTCAAGAGACGCAGGAGGACCGCTGGAGGGGGAAGAAAGATCTCGTTTGGGAGATCACCTCCCATCTACTCGTTAATAACGCTAGTCTTGCAACCACGGCCAGAGAGGAGAATGGAGATACACCCCTCCATATGGTGGTGCGATCCGTCTCCCCCTCACTCGTTAAGCTTTTCCTGGAACGTGGAGCGAATGATCGTGCGGAAAACATGAGTGGCAAAACACCACGTGATTATGCCGAACCATTCCGTGACTCCGCGGACCCAGATGAAAAAGAGATATTCACTCTACTTCACGGGGAAGTTCGTGGTTCTTAATGTTTGGTCAAAGTCAATGAGCCCACGGCCACTGGTCTTAGCTTTTGCAGAATAGATCTTGGAAAGCGTCGCACTATTATTCTCATTATCCCCATTTGCGAAAAAGCACGAGTGAGGCCCCTGTGACAAAGTCGAGCATGTGGAAGAATGTAGGTCTTTAATGCGGAACGGTAAAAGGAGTCGTAGTCACGCAACTGTCCACGCTCCCCTAGCCCCAAAGGTACGGTTTACCCTGCCAGCTCAAGTCCATGCTCCAGAGCATGAATAAGCATCCATAGGCACGAGTGACGGAGCAAGAGTGCATATCGAGAGTTGCTGGGGCAGTCTTACAACCATCTTCAGCACTAATTTCCTCTGTTGAGCGCAACCTTTATCTTTCTCGACGAACTCTCTCATGTTTTATGACTTGACACACTAGATTCTTCCATGCAGCACGCACTTCATGGCTACATTATAACATCACGATATAATTGCCACTTAAAAGATAGATACTATGGAGTGTTGCTGGAAATTTCTGTTGCGTTTAGCTATAATTAAAGGTATTGTAGCGATATTATGTATGTTTATGTTTTCCCTTTTGTAAGCAATAGATATAATATTCCCATGTCACATGCCGGCTACACTCTTAACTTCATCACAAAAAGTCTTTCTTTGACACAATATAGATACTACGTTCTACATGGCCCAGAGTTTGTGGTCGGATCGAGTGACTTGAGTTTCATCAAGAAAACGCTGAGGGTGATAAATTCTCCATTAACGATCGGTTACTTTAAGCCATGAATTGATGAAACATCGGTGGCGTACATATACATATCCCGTTCGGATTGATACTAAGTCTTGCAAATACTTGATTCACGTACAATTCCACTCGATGGATGATGAGAGAAGCAATAATAGCGGAGTCGATATCCTGAACAGGATACTTGGCCTTCAATCCCTTAAAGGGTAGAGTGTGAGTCACATGCTCTCATGTGTGGCAGGTGTTCAGCATGACTACATATTTATAGTCTCTAGGAGATCTTCATAAGCAGCGGCGCATAATAAACTGCTCATCGGGATATTCAGCGTGATGATAGACTTGTCAGTGATTTGATGGCAGCACACCTTGAGTCACTGTGCGTATCCATGCTCAACTACTCAGCGCCTGCAGGTATTCTGCCTTTCGCAACACAGACACTTCGCTTGATTTATCCCTTTCAGACGATATCTGCTTTTAATGATCGACAGCATTGACAAGGCGACTCATCCTTGCCTATGTCACTGCATCTTCAGGCGCATCTCTTTCACTGCTACGCACCCAGAAATTGTGTGTCCTACTGAGGGTAAGCACGGGACACGGAGGTTCCTAATGACTATCTTGGCTTGGACGCAAAGTTATATGTGAGCTAAGATACAAGCCTCATACGGAAAAGAAAAATAACAACTATGAAAGGCCGTGTGCAGCCGGAGGGGCTCTCAGAACTGAATAGGGCGATATGAAATTAATTGAGAGGATTAGAAGCTGGTAATTAGGCTTAGAGGCACCAGAACTCTACGTAGACGGTATGCTAAACTATACGTGATGAGCAGCAAAATATATAGGATGATGGGCAGTCTTTTAGACGTCCATCTGGAATGTAATGAATGCTGAGTTTTCTACATTACTATTTACGGACATTTAAACGATAAAATTTGAAAAGGCTCATGAAGTTTGGAATGCGGAATTATGAAAACAATAGAGTCGATTCCCCTTGTTTAGGATAGCCCAAAAACTCTCCAACAAGATGGCCCCCTACTCCGGTGTATTGTCATTACGTGCAGTATATGGGTTGAGTATATGAATATTTACGCGAAAGGTAATTTGCGAAGGTTAGAACAAAGATTCATAAGCAGCGAGTTTATGACAGAGAAGCCAGGGCATAATGTGGTCTAGGACAAATGCTACCTTCCAATTAATAACTAAGTAAGCAATGTGCTGAGAATTAAAAACTTTATAATTCAATCAGTGACCTTTTAAACACGCCTGCATTACAATACTAAGTTAGATGAGACTATGTTTTCAAACACTTCAACGCATAGATTCACTATGCGCAGGTCAACCACTGAGTTTTTGGCTCAACTGGCATTAGTCTACCATCTCTTCAAGCGAAAAAAGGTCTATCTTCGCAAAGGAACCCTCTTGGAGTGAATCATATGTCCAAAAACACTATATATATTGGGATTCCCAGCCTTTGCCTCGTTGAAATGAAGAAATTTACGATTAGTTCACAACAATTCAGAGGCATCCCTTGATTCTTTTTGACCACTTCACAACGATCGCCTTTTCTCTACCACCTTTCAACTATTACCAATCATGCCCCAAGCAATTGTTTATAGGGTCAGCATCGCGAAAGAAGACATGGAATGGGAAGACCTTGAGGCTATTCTGCCTTCCCTGGAGCCACCTCTGAAAGTAAGTGAGACGCCATTTTTTTTGGCATTTTGACGGCCAGCAGTTTTGGAAATTGTAAGTCCCGTTTGTCTACGCCCTATTAGGTTGTTACTGTTGATCCTCACAACCGCAAAAGAAGTATTCCCCGGAAGAATGGCGGAATCGACATGAGATATAGCACCCAGACAACCATCTGGGAGGATGAGTAGGAGTGGGCACAGAGGTTCCTATATGATGTGTCAGAGGCTACGGAGGAGCCTACAGAATCCGCTGCGAGGTTGCTGATTAGAGCCTTGATAGGTTAAAAACAGCACAGACCTCGCAATATATGGACAGGGGTTAATATTCAGTTTGCCTACGGATATGATATAGATAGCTAGCAGCAGTGTTCAAGCGTATTCGCTTCTAGTTATCTATCATACGCCCTTTCTAGTCTTCATTCCTTAACGTAACACCCCGTTTTCTGACATGATGCTTCACGTGCACTCATTCTACTAGAACGCCTCAAAGATCGCTTTCCCCAGCAATCACATAGAGGAATCACCAGAGTAATAAGAGATATAGCGAATGGTTTAATTTCGGGAGTACTAGATACAAAAGCCCATAGCCCGGGTTTCCCCTTTCAGCACAAAGTGTGTTATTAGGGGTCAATAATAGCCAAGTAGGTCTTCAGCATAGGACACCTAGTTTTTCTTGGTGGGGATTGAACCAGGTGAGAATCCGTGATTGTTCTTGTTGAACAAACGCTCCTCTTCCAAATGATACGGCTTATCATTCTCTTAGCATGGGAACACCCCGAATACTAGTACATGAGAGCCATCTAAACACCGAAGACCTGCCTCATAGCATTCCAAACAGACACAAATCCCCGTGCAAATCCCCCTGCTAACACAATTATTCCACCAGTAAGCTCCCAAGTCGTCCGAGATGTGGCCGAGACAGTAGTCACAGTATGACGAACTGTTGTCGAAGAGCAGTGACTGACTTGGGAGAGACCCTGGGTCATTGCTGGTTTATGAGGGTGGTTTTCTCGCACCGTATTTCGCAAGCAAGTCGATCACGCGTGAGGACCCGAGGCGCTGTGCCCACCACATCAAGTTTCGCCCGAGACTATCCTTCCACTCTTCCCAGCGTGTAGTCTTAGGCAGAAGAAGCTCCAGAATCTCAATTTGGTTATTACTCAGAGCGTAGAAGGCAGGAATTAAGCCAAAACGGTCCTCTGTGTGTGCGGCCGCTCCGACCTTATCAGAGAGGAGCAATTTCGCAATCTCAAGATGACCACAGCGAGCCGCCTCTGCCAGTGGCGTGTAGCCGCGAATGTCGTAAGCGTCTTTATCGATGCCAGGTTGTCCAAGTAGAAGTGTTGCCAGCTCGATATTGCCGCTGTTACAGACTATGTGTGGCGGTGAACAGCCTTCAGTAGCACCTGAAGTAAACTCCACCCCCTTCTCAAGAAGTAGTAGCTCTGCTATTCGAACGCGGCCATTACGTAGGGCGCAGTGTAGTGGAGTGGAGTGGTCCCATTCTTATCCGAAATCGCGGCATCTGAACCTTTCTGAAGCAACAAGTTGACAACATCCCCTTGGCCGTTCAATACTGGTTCATGGGATCCGTAATCGAAATCAAGCCTTGGGTTCTTCCAACTCAGAAGCGGGCAACCTCCGATTGACCCGCCAAAGCAGCCATGTGAATAATGGTAACCCCATCTTTCAAAACGAAGCTTGTCGGCCTCGAATTGTGCCGCAAGAGAGCTTGAATCGAACCCAAAGTCTTGATAGGCATCGACCTTCGCAACACCGTCGAGGCAGCACAGGTGTTGAACAGCCCAACAAGGCCAATCACTCCAATAGCTACGCCGGCAGGCTCCATTTAGCGGTGACTTTGTAAATATAGCCAGGTCTGTAGGATTCTAAAGCTCCAGCTTGGAAAAGGTGAAATCTCTGGTTGGGCCATTTTGACCCCGCTCTCGTAAGGTGGCATCTGTGTTGTTCGCCTTTTCCGCCTCGCTGACAGTCCACAGGGCAGTCTTCAAACCGAATACCACATGGTATTATCTTGCATTGCATCCCAACAGACTTTTTGTCTCCCCATCAATAAGTTCCAAGCTCCGGGCTAACTTTGGGAGGCTCCTCCGGACCAAGTCCTGCTCGCATCAATACCTCCGGATTTAGACTTTAGGAATGCCCTTCTGTTCAGAAACCAAACTGTATTTTCCGGCTACGTTAATTGTAGCCCCTTTTCCCGTTTTACCTGCCATATGCGGCCATCCACAGACCTCGGCTCATTATTAATCCGAGGTTCAGGGTAGCACCCATCCCGCTTGGATCAGAATTGAATCCTGGGGATCTGGCCATCTAGCTTCATCATTTCGTCACAGCCTTCATCATGAGCGCCCAGACACACCAACAGTCCGTCCTCATTACTGGGTAGGTTTATTACTGGGCTTCGTATGCACAAGACACCGAGATGGTACTAACAAGTCACTAGATGTACTCCAGGGGGCATTGGCTGCGCTTTGGCTCAAGAGTTTCAATCACGCAGTATGTTTCAGGATCCGGCCTCCCTCGCTTTGCTCAAATGGCATGGCCGCGAACTTCAAAACAATCCCACTTCCTTTCTTCATCGAAGCTAATTATGTTGTTATGCGATTCTCGGATAATAGACTGCAATGTTATCGCCACTGCCCGCAAGCCTGACGCTTTGGCCGAGCTGGCCGGTATGGGCTTAACCGCAGTCCATCTTGACGTGGATAGCGAAGAGAGCATTGACGCTGCCAAGAAGCGCGTTGAGGAATTGACTGGCGGCAAACTAGACATCCTTGTTAACAATGCGTGAGCTCAACTTCATTGTCCGTGACAAAGCCCGAACGTTCCAATAGCTAATTTTGGCGGTCTAGAGGCGTGCGGTACATCATGCCATTGACGGATGCAGACCCAGCACGTGTCCGCGACGTCTTTGAGACCAATGTCGTTGCCGTGATGGTGCTTACCAACAGATTGATGCCACTTCTCCTGGCATCGGAGGGTCTCATTGTCAACATCTCCTCCTACTCGGACCGGCTGGGATACCCGTTCAAAGGTGTATACGCCATGTCCAAGGCCGCATTGTCCAGTTATTCGCAGAATCTGTCGGTCGAGCTGGCGCATTACAATGTTCGTGTTTTGAACGTTGTCACATCTTTTGTCGCCAGCAAGGGGCAGGACGGTGTCCACGAGGAGTGGCCCAAGGACAGCCTGTTCAATTCTATGCGAGACGAGGGACAAAGGGTCGGAGGCGGGAAGCGGATGACGGCGGAAGAGTATGCGAAAGAGGTGGTTGCGGAGGCTCTGCGAGGGAAGGGGTGGTCTTTCGGCCCTTGGAGGTTCTTCGGGACGAGGGAGACGATGCGCGTTGGGACGATGTGCATGAAGTTGTGGCTTCTAGAGACACTAGGTTACGGATGGATCAGGTTCATGATGCTCAGAATGTGGCCCTTTTGGAAGCTTAGGGATAGTCTGGCGGCCAAGAAGACGAACTGAGGGGATTTTATCGCTGCCATATCGGTTTGATCTTTTCTTTCGGAATAAGAATATTTTGAAGTAATTTCAGTTGCTCCTCCGTTCGTACCGCTTCCTTGTCCATTTCATCGGGTTACTAGGGAGTTGTTTTAGTTAATCCTAATTCGCGAGATCATTCATTTCACCTATTCAAATCATGCAGTCGTTCCAAAATGGTAGAACATATTCATGAACTAATCTCCTTCCTCGTGCTGTTCGTTGTTTAGCTTGCAGAGTCATTCACAATCGAAAAGAAATGACAAGACCTATGAGAAAGAGAAGAAAGTTTAACAGCAATGGAAGCTGCCAGAGCCCGACAACTCAACACAATGAATACGAAAACTGAAAAAGAAAAGCCTTTGCTAGCCCAAGGCTGTAGCGAAATGATGGACAACGATCTCATCATGAAATTCTATTGATTTATGTTGAAATACAAGTCTGTTCCTCTATTTTCCAGTAGTCCGAGCAGCACGTTCTTACAACTCAAAGACAGTCCGTTAGTTGCTATTGGGGACAATGTAAACATCACGCTCAAGAGCGCGAGTGTTGAGCTTTCGCATTGTTAGCGGGTTCTTCGTCTCTTCCTATTGTGTTTTACTTACAATGCTAATGGGAATGTTATGGAAATCAGTGACGCCAACTTGAGCAGCATCGTTGTAGATCTCAGTGTTGATGAGGCTAATGGCCTTGTTAACACCGTCGAGACCGTAGATGTTGGAGTGGAGGAATCTATGATAATATTAGCAACCATCTTCAATCAATGCAACTACATAGGTTTACGTACGGTCGACCCATGCCAACAGCCTTGACTCCGAGAGCTAACAGCTTGACAACATCATCTCCGTAACGGATACCACTGTCGGCAAGAACCTCAATCTGGCCGAAGATCTCAGGAGCGTTGTGGTGAATCTCGAAGGCGATCTCGAGAGGGGAGGGTGAGTAGTCCACCTGGCGGCCACCGTGGTTGGACAGCATGATGGCGGGGACGCCCTTCTCAACGGCCTTCTTAGCATCTTCGACGGTGGTGATGCCCTTGAGAATGATAGGCAGCGAGGTATGGTTCTTCATCTCCTCGTACAAGTCCCACTATCTCAAGTTAGCAAGAAAGGCACCAGGGGGGGACAATGAAATCAATCAGACGCGGGAGTTCCACAAATTCATAGAGCTCAACTTACGTCAAGAACTGCAGCTTGAAGCCGGCTAACAGATGAAGAATAGCGGGCAGCACGCTGACGGCTGGATGTCGCGGGAGCATCAATAGTCCAGACCAAAGCCTTGGCATTGTTTGCCTCAGCACGCTGGAAGATGTCCCAGACGGCGTCATGATCGTCAGTAGCGTAGAACTAAGCCGTCAGTTAGATTACCTGGCCTTATCAAAATCGACCGGAAATTGTGAGATCTACCTGCTGGAAAGTGACCTGGGGGCCGTTCAGAGTGTTGTTGTGCTTTCTTTTCTGCTCGCCAATTTCCTCGATGGTCTTGTTGGCGTAGAACGCAGCCTACGAATAAACGTGGTCAGCGAAGTACCAACCACAAAAAAAGAAGGGTGAAATTAACCATGTAGAGAATGTTGTTCTCCGCAGCAGCATCAACAAAGTTGAGCTCACCGGCGGGGTCACCATATCCGGCACGAGCAGCAGGCGAGATGAAGATGGGGGAGCTAAAGTTGTATCCCAAAATGGTCACTCTAGAATGGTAGGTCAGCGTTCCGTTGCAACATGACTATAACGGTCATATCATACCCCATGGTCTCATTCAAACCAGTAATGCCAGCAAGCTGGTGAGGGCGAAGGCGGGCTTTCTCCCAAACGGCCAAGTTGTTTCGGTAAGCTGGGATCGGCATCCTAGTCAGACTCTCTTCTATATCTTTCAACCGTCAATTGTTACTTACCCCACTCGCTGCCTGCACCAACACGGTAGAACGAGTACTGATCGTGGGAGAGTGTCTGGCGGGCGGCGAAGTCAAAGTCAGGAATGCCCTGGATATCGGCAAGATCGGGGCGTGTGCCAGCAGTCCAGCCCTTCTTCTGGAGAAACTCCTCGAATCCAGTGTCAGGCTCATTCTGGACTTTATACGAGTGAGTTAGTGTTATAGCCACGGTATACTATTGTTGATTTTTGGGGAATTCTTACAAACTTCCCATGCTAGGGCGCTCGTGGCGAGTTGAAGCAAGGTGAGGGCACGCATGTTGACTGTACGTGAGTGAATGTATGCTAAGGAATGAATATGATCCCGGCTCCCGTCCTCAGAATGAGTGTATGACTTGAGGTGAATATGTGACTAGAGCAAAAGGATCGGCAGGCCATGACTATATAGAATCTAAAAGATGAGCCTCGCACACAGGGACCCGTTTGACAACAGCGATGACGAAGTCGCAATCCTTGTCCCAGCAATCTGGATATTGCCTCCCTGCCCCGGCAATTGGAAGCAGGGCTCAGGGAGTAAAAAATACCAGGGGTGGTTGCAAGGTGTTGCTCGTCCCGACATTTTCAAGAGGAAATAAAAGATCTCATACTGATTCCGTATCACAACTGCCCCATTGGGAACGGGAGCTTCTGTCAGTGGGATTAATCAGACATTAGTCGTCTGCAAGGCTGTGGATTCTGGACTGCCGAATCCCGAGCGCTGTGCATATTTGACTGCTCAGGCTTATGTTGAAAATGATGATCCCGGTGAGCATAATCCGCACTACGTTTGAAACTTATCCGTACCTGTTTCATCTTATCCTCCATTTTAATAGGCACAGAGCTCTGACGAGACGGATATCACGATGGTTATCCGAGCGTACTTGAGCCTCGTCATTTTGTGCCAGAATTTCTCAAGTCGTTGCAAGGAACGGAATCCATTCTGAAAGCTCGCAAAGGCAAACAACTATTATAATACGCATTCAATTGCCCTCTTGACAAATTCCTACGTTGTTTGCCGGAGGGAATTACAAGGAAATAACAATGATTCCGTTCCTCCTACCCACAAATGTAATATGACAGGCCAAACGTGATGAATATCCGCGGTCTTATGCACCCACTCTTGGTTGTTTCAAGGCTCTGCTGGATTATCAATCGTTATTCAGCGAGATTTGATCGTTTGCTCTCCAATTCCCCCCACTCCGCCCCCTCCAAAGCCACAAGTAATCACAACGAGGCTCCATAAAGCGATTGCATGGAATTCGAATTCTCCCCATATCCCAAGTTGGAGATCGTACGCGCCCGCGCGGTTGCGGGTGAAGTGTTCTTAAGCGAGACCAATCTCTCGATCAGCCCATTCTGTTTCTATCGAGATTCCCGTGAGGCAATTCTCGCTCTACGAGCAATCATCTTCGACGCAATCATTGCTGCTAGTACGAAGGATCGATCGGATAAATCGGAAGAGGCGTGATCCTGCGCAATGTTCAATGTGGGGGCGTAATCGGTGGCTCACCTTCTTCAAACAGAAGTGCGACATATTCTCAGGTTTCGAAGCGAGTCGGAGAAAGGACCTTGAAAGCCGAGCGTTGCTGGCCCACAGCTCTTTCATCGTGCAGGCTTGCAAGATTTTCGAGACGAAATAGGTCTGCAGCTTGCCTTTCATGACGTAAGAGTACCGTTAATGATGAGATGTTCATCAACATCAAAGCCAGGCCCTTCGCTTTTATATCTTCAGATTCTTGCCCAATCTTTTTTTCTCGACGTAGGTCGATATCTTGGATAAGCACACCTCTGGTGCCATATGTCAGAGAGTAAACTTCTAGTATGACTTAAGAGAAAGAAATCAGATATTCGATCAAAAATGACATTACTTCTTTCCACTTGGGAGCTTGGGGACATCCGACGCCATCTCTCCCAACCCAACATAATCTGTGTCTACTGTAAGTAAATGAAATGCATGATCTTTAAACGACAATATTTACAAACTGACTGTTGTGATAGCGTTACCCATAAATATGGTTATTCTAAACCATATGTCTAACCCAAATTAAACATCCAACGCAGAGAGCGATCAAGGCTCCCCAGTCAGCTGACGCGGCCTCAATGATGGTAAGTTTCTTTACTTGCCAATTTTATTGTCTATGTCCATGGGTTCGGATATGTTGAATAGCCTTTTTTTATGTAATTCTATAAATGGATAAAATCTTTTCGCAAGCGGCACCAAACCTCAAGCTCGCCTTGACAAGCACCATGCGGGAGAGAACTGCATTATTAGTCATTTCAAGAGTCCCTTGACGAAATTGATTCTACCCCGAGAACAAATCTCTAAGGCATATTTATAAGTCTAACAATTCGAGGGTCATCGTGAGTGACCATTGAAACCACCCATTCTTAATATTCTCCGTTGAATGGGGAAAGTAGTGCGCAATATAAATGGTAAGATTAAGTTGCTATTCCTAGGCGCACTATCAATCAAGCTATGATTCATGCTTAACAAAATATCCCTATTTCTTATTAACAACCTAGATGCCTATACGGGAGTTGTTGTGCAGTTATTAAAACGTGTTCAATATTGATGTTGGTGGACGTCGGAGCAGCGGTCTCGGTAGTACTCCAACCGCCATCCAAGCCAAGCCCACTGGACCGGCTTGCATTGGAAGATTTGTAGGAAGACTAAAGTAAGCGTAGGTATTATGATTAGTGCGATGACGGTGAACGCCGCAACCCGAAATTTCCTGTTGGGGAAAATGCGAAGGTAGAAGCAGACCAGTCGTATCCTTGCCATAACTGGCACTCGATATGGTAGATGCAAGCCACGGGATGAAGCGTTTCGTCAGCTTTCTCATTGCAGGCAGGCACACCACAATGATGGAGACCGAGAGCTCGATCCCTGTCCAGACAATCGTTTCCGTGTAGTCCCAAGTCGGGTTCACGGACAGGCCGAATCGTGAGATGTACTGCAGCCGGATACACGATGTGATAGTGATGAAGATGCCCAGGCTGAACATGACGAAGATGCCAAACTTCTCCTTCCTCGCCATCTTGAGATTCCACAACAAGGGCAGCGGCAGCGTGATGACCAGGGCATCCTGAAAGATGCTGAACCCGGCGGCGAGCACGGTGAGGAGTAGGATCGGTCATTGTCCTAGGTTAATCAGCCATTATTCATAAGAATTCAGCTGGCAGATGCTTGCTTGCATTTCTTCCTTTGATCACTATTTCCGCGGAAATGCACAGTCGCTAACTTCTCCGACACAATGTAGTTTTTTTCTGAGCACATGAGGCAACAAAATAGAACCGCATCGGTCGTGATAGGTGTGTGTCCAATCCGCGTTGTGCGGCAACTTCAGCGCCGCAGCCGCCGCAGGTGCCGCAACCCACTCCGGACGTCAGCAAATACTACGTTGAAGTAGCCTGGAGGTCGAAATAAGCTGATTCATTGATTTCTATTCGTCCTAGAAAACGCCATAAAATTTGTAAGCGCGCCCTTGGAGCGCCAATGTTACTCTGCATGCTAAGTTGTGCCTAATTAGGATCGCCACTCAATCTTCACTATAGAAGCCAATGACTTTCTCCCAGGGTCAAGATATACACCAGAAAAATATCGAAGTTGGGAGAAATCTAAGACCATGTTGTCATGGCCGAATGAGATCATCGATTGCACCACCGTTATCACCAGTTTTCAACTACATAAGCATGGCTCTTGGACGCTTTTCTTCGAGAACGAACATCCTCAATCACAATAAAACAAAATCTGTATTGAATCAAAACACTTTACCTACGCAAGATACGAACATGTCCAATATAACGTCATATGTCTCCTCGGTGGATGCAGGCGGTTCCAACATATTTTACCGTTATGCTGCACCTACCAACAGGCCTGAAGGCACAATCCTGCTGCTCCACGGATTCCCGTCTTCCTCTCACCAGTTTCGGAACCTTATACCTCGACTAGCTTCTCGTGGGTACGAGGTCATTGCGCCTGATCTGCCAGGTTACGGCTTCACCACTGTCCCTGAAGGCTACAACTATACCTTTGCCGACATCGCCGCAACTATAGAGCTCTTCGTGTCTGCGCTTCTACTCCAGAAAATTGCCATTTATATCTTCGACTATGGCGCCCCAACCGGGCTTCGATATGCTATAAACCATCCCGATAACGTTGCGGCCATCATAAGCCAGAATGGAAATGCCTATGTTGAGGGTTTTGGAACCAAGTTCTGGGCTCCGATCAGGAAGTATTGGGAGACTGGATCTACCGAGGATCGCAACGCACTCCAGGGCGCCCTTGAGCTTGATTCCATCACCTGGCAGTATACCAATGGCTCGCCCCACCCGGAGAAGATCCAACCCGAGAGCTACTGGCTGGACCATGCACTCGTGGAGCGCGAGGGGAACCGAGACATCCAGCTGGATCTGCTCTACGATTACCGCAAGAATATCGACCTCTACCCTGCTTTCCAGGAGTACTTTCGAACCTCCGAGGTGCCTGTTCTTGCCATTTGGGGCAAGAATGACGAGATCTTCATCCCACCCGGGGCTAAGGCGTTCAAGAAGGATGTAAAGAATCTCGAATTGCACCTCATTGACGCCGGGCACTTTGCCATCGAGACCAACGAAGACTACTTTGCCAGCGAGATTGATGACTTTCTCCGAAAAGGCGACATTTTTGGCTAGTAAAACTTGCTTTTCTGGCTCCCGGGTCACCCTAGTGATCTATCCATACGGAAGAACGTTTTTGAGGAAACAGAGAGGTTACCCAACAGAAACTTTTGGTCTAAGTCTCTCATTTATCAGATATTGATTTGAATTTGGTCTCTCATTCATTTGGAAGGTGTTGGTCGTTATCGAAACAACACCAGTCCTCGTCGCTTATTTTCTATTTCATTTTCGCCTTGTAAACCAAGTAGCAGCCGGTAGGCTGTGAGGGAGCAGGCTATTCAACAACCGCTGATTGGCAAATTCAACATGCAAGCCAATGATCTTACGGACCCAGCATTTGTCATATCCTTAGAGTTGATTTGATAATCTGCTAGAAATACACTCTTTTGATCACAATCTTTGTGCACACTACTATTTATGATGCAAAGTAATCTCCCTGCAGTCCATCCAAGTAAAACCATTCATGCTTGTACGTTGGTGTCTGCCTATCCCTGCGTCAAGATTCTTTCATGTTGTACTCGAGAGAGCGGATAAGGTCCAATCCTTCAGAATATCTTTCTACGCAGCAGTCAGTAGCCAAAAACTTTACTAACTTCTTATAATTTGGACTAGAACAGAACGCTATATTTTTTATCAGCGCCGATGGAGAGTGGCTATTTGCAAACAAAAGTCCTTTCCATCACCCTGACGTTCCCTGACCAACAATTAACAGTCACCCTCCGAACCAAATTGCCCCTTTTCCAGCTTTAGGTATTCATTTGGCCTTGATGTTTCTTCATGAGTTCGATCGCCTTTGCCGAATCACAGAACTCTAGTATGTCCTCGATCATCTCTCCATTTCCAGTCATGGTCAAAATGAACATGTATTCGTTCTCATACTCCCCCAACGGAGTGCTCCCCTTGTTCTTCACATGCATCACCACCTTTCGGGACTCGACATCCACAACCATCTCTTTATCGTCGACTATCCTGCAGGTGCAGTCTTTCATCATGTCGGCAAAGCGGCCGTAAAATGCCCCATATTCTGCGTTGTTGTAGGTTCCGATACCAAGTGATGAGGGGAGGTGTGTATGTTTGCAGGTGTCGGCACGGAGAGAGAGGATAGCATCGACAGTGTGTTTATTGCAGCAATCGATAAAATTAGAGGCGGTTCTCTGGAGTGTCGCTCGCAGTTCCTTAAAGTCTGCCATTGTGCTCTTTTCGTGGGTTTGGATCTTTTAGTGCACAGTTATCTTAAAGATTTGGAGGAAATAGAGCCCATTGCTCTTCTGATGAGAGTGCGCCCACGCTTTATAAAAGGGTGGCTCCATACGGAGTAGTTGCGTCGTATATGTCGTGTTCGCACTAACAATGGGATGAACGATCGCTCCGTACATCCCGTGTAAGTTTGCAACATCCGGGCTAGACACGCCCCATTTAACTCAGGACAGGGCAAATAAAATCTCCTTGGCCATACACGGTGCTCCCCTTTGGTACCATATACAATACAGAGCCAATGACGGGGAGGAAGCTCAATGGTACTCGGCTTGCTCGAAATTATACGATACAACCTGCCCCCCTCCGACGACACTTTGACGACCTAGAGGCGTGGTTGGTGTTGGCGAAATTGTTTCTCCACGTCGTATGGGAGAAATGAGACCATCGGACCATTCTGATCATCCTCGTTTGTGTTTGGATTGGGCTTGAGGATCTCATCCCCAAGCCTCGGCACGGCGTTCTACTATTAAGCTTGTATCAATGAAGTAACCAGGCAATACTCATGTTATTAAATAACAATAAAAATAACAATATTACATCCCATTTCAGACGAGAGAGTAAGGATTGTAAATTGAAACTAGCTATTGAAATCAAATGATACTGCAGACTATGAAATTTGAAGATTGAAACTAGCTGTTGAAAGCAAATGATATTGCAGACTTTGAGATGTGCAGATTGGAAGCATACATGATAAGCAGCATGAAGAAAAATCAATCTGAAGACGACACATAGGAAATTGGAGGTGTAGGTGACAGCAGAGAGTACAGGTCAAACTGAACCCCTGGCTTGACATCGGTAATGAATCAGTCCTATTCCACAGCAGAAGCTCTCCCCTAGCGCTGGTTTTCGTTACTGTAGTCGCCCCAACGAAGGTTCCGAGCCTGGTCAAACTGAAACATTTGCTCAGTCAGAGCCGGCATGGTCTTATCATCGGGGAGCTCGTGGTCAGCCGGTATAAGCATCGCATTGGTAAAAGGGTGACTGGGCCTTGCGCCACGGCCTCTGCCTCCTCCTCCACCTCTGCCTCCTCTGCCTCCACCTCCACCTCCGTGATGCCCAATAGGGGGTCTTGTTGTGTCATGGTACCCAACATTATAGACATCCCTTTGATTCTCGTTGTAAAAGCCCCGGGTTGCGCCTGGATTGCCACCATTGTAAGCTGTCGAGCCGGGGAGAAGGGGATATCCCACCACAGTCCCGGTTGCATCGAGCGTCATAGGAGGATTGTCCCGGTTATGGAACTGATGAGGGTAGATGCTGCGAGGAGGACGGTTCTGTCGGGTAGGGGCAGCATTGATTTGGCTGGCGACATTCAAGTCGAGAAGGACCTTGGTGGGATCTTCGTTGGGCAAATTTTTACTAAAATGCTATAGTTGGGGTTAGAACAAGATGATATATCGAAACAAGTATCAGGCGTAGCAGATCTTTAGCTTACAAATGCATCTCCAGTCAAGGACAACGGCGGGGCACTCTCAAATGGGTCAGGAAATGAGCGTTGGTCTCCGGTCAAGGACATGGAGCCTTGATTGGTAGTCGATGTCCCGGCGTATGATCCCTGGCCAGGATTCTGGCCAAAACCATTGTAATGGTTACGACGATTGCTGTTATTGTAGTTGTTATACGACATGGTGTTGCTTTCGGACTGTTAATGATTGAGCTGTTGCAATACTAGGAATACCAATGGTAGAATGGTCTTTTTATGTACAGAACTCGCTGTGCCAAGCCTAATATCAGGCTCATTCAGCGCCCCGGGCCTTCTCATCTGGTCACACATGGCCGCATATTGCGAGGACTAGGCGTGGATGAGCTGGCAAATGATGAGCCTTGATGCTGATGTGCGGCGTAGCCTCAGCCGTAGCTGAAGAAAAAAATACAGGATCTCGTCTCGTGTATTTTACGGCAACATCCAGGAGATCATGTTAAGCGTAAAATTGCCAAAGATACATGTAGAAGTGCGTATACCTGATCTAGATGCTTGCAGCAGCGTGTAAGAGGAAATGAATAGACAGCTTAGCTTCTTCAGATTCATCTATATCCGGCCAAGAAGTATCGACTGGCTTAGAATCAGCTTCAATACTGAGACATTGCGTAATCTCAGCCGTAGCTGAAAAAACAAACGATGGCAAAGGGTCTCATTCTACCTAGTCTTCGACACCGCATATAGTGGATCCTGTCGAGTATTAGCAACAGTTTCCAGGGCACCTGCAGTAGTTCCTGCACCTAGCAGTGCCTCTAGCAGCGTCTAATAGATGTTTTCGGATGGCTCAGCTTCTCCTGTTCCATCCATCATGATCGATGTTGGGTTCAGAAGCATTGGTTGGCCCGCCCGTTATTTATTTTTAGAGTGGTGGCTGGTAGCCAAGCCCCAGAAGCGCCGCCTTTAATAACACGGCTTACACGCGTTCCAACACCAAAGTTAAGGACTTCCAAGACGGCGCGTAAAAGAGGAGGTTGTGGGGCTTCTCCCTCAGCTCTCGAAATTGTGAGAGCCCATCGCAGGGGCTGAGAAACATAGCTTTCACACACCACCACACGAAGTTCATCAATTCAATTTCACCACGTGTTCTCGCGAATTTCCTTTACTAATCAGCTTCATTCGGTTCCGTGGGCAAAGTACGAACTATCGTCAATCAATCCGTCCGCTATTTCCGCTACTCAATACACCGACACCAAGGGCGAGATCGTCAAACACCTCTCACCTGAACTCCATCCTCACACATCATCATCTCATTACTTTAGATCCATGGAAAACGATCATAAAACCGTCGAGGAGGGACTTGAAGAGGATGTTACCAGGAGGCCAAAAATTGAGCTTGAAAGTGGCTTAGGCAGTGCTGATGCTCCGCCTCAGCCAAATGAGACTGCTCAGATTAGTCTTAAAGAAGAGGATTCAATTGCAGTCAAATCCGAAAAGCCTACTCCTCAATCCAAATTCGATCTAAGCGACATCAAAACAACTAGTCTAACCGAGCCAGGAATTTCCATTCTGAATATTATCGAGAATGCCCTGAATTCGACAAGTCCGGGGAGCGCCAGTATCGCCGCCCAGGGCCTGGACCTCCTTTGCCCATCTACCAAATCCACTGAGGTTGGAGATTATATATGGGTTCTCTGGACCATGCTCTTGGAGGTTGCTCAGGCGTTGCCCCCCGACTCGGATAAACCAGGCCAGGGGACCCTTGTAGCGATTCTCTTTGAGCTACAGCAATGTGCCAAGGGAGATGTGAGCCTTTGGGGGGTGAGTCTGCTTGGCATTCGAAGGCTGTAGATCAAAACTAACAATTTTCTGCAATGCAGAGCGAGTGGCGCTTGTGGAGAGACCTCCCATTGCTGTCAAATTTTATGGATGAAACCTGGACTGGTATATCAATCCCATCTGACCCTCGAATGCAATGGTAAACCAGGAATTTCCAGCTAACGATTGATGTCAAGACCCCGTGAGAAATGATGAAATTCTTGAGCAAGAATCAGCGAGGATGTGGCGGAATCAAAATGCCTTTGCCGCGCGATGTGTCGGAGCGGGTGTAGGGGAGTGGGCACACTTTGGGATCTGGCAGCTGCGAGCAGCCCTAGAGGAAGATAGAGCGGCAGAGCAGTCCGAGAATCGGGAATGCCTCATTCAGGTCGCAAGTGAGTGGGTTATTCACTCTGGCCCAAGGTTGCTGCAATGGGCGGAGGATGAGGACAAGGAACCATTTGACTGGGGTACTGATGTTGCCGCTGGAAGTTTGTTCCAAGGCAGCCCCGGCTTATCTCTTAGGCGCTGGAAATTTTGGAAAGATCGATTCAACGAAGTCAGCAAAGACACGGCATTGTGCAACGAAGGAGCAAGAGTGGCAGCGCGAGAAGCAGTTGAGAGCATGGTTGAGGCAGAAACCCGACTAGGAAATGAATCAACCTAACAATACAAAAGATTGAATTAGTGCTGGGCCTAGCATTAACTATAGCCGTTGATTTGTTTTGAAAATACAGTCTTTGTTTGCAATCCTCACGCGTTATACCGCCTCACCTGCTTGGAAATTGGACAACAGCACCAACCACCGGCCTAGCCACATACAGCTAGCTGTAAGACTTATCTTATCAGGCGCTAGAAAGATAAGAGCACATTAGACTAGCCTATCAAAGACTAGTACTGAGCCTGTTGCGGTCTGCTTGCTTACCCTAGAGCTGTTGCCAGCAAATGCTCGCTGCATGAGAATTAGATCAGTCAGCTTTAAGGAAGGGTACATAGCCCCCTAAAACATATATGTTTGTGTCCCTTGCATTATTTTGATGCAGGCAAAATTAAAAAAAAAATGGAGGACTCATAGAATGTTGATCGATTTGATGGATGACATGGAGGTTACGGTTTGAATTCCGAAGGACGATCCCGGAATATTGACCCCACTTGTTACATGGATGTCTCATCACGTGATTCTATAACATGATAAGAACTGATAGGAGATAAGAACATCCCGCGGGAACGAGTTCCGCAATAACCGACTCAGGAGTCAATTCGTTCTTCCAGCCTGGACTCCCAACAAGCCTCCCATAATGTGAGAGTTGTTGCGATCATGAGTGCTAGTAATGCGCCTTCGAAAAAAAGAGCCAAGACAAAGACATTTACAGGGTAAACAATGAGTACCCACCCGATTGTGGGTAAGAGTGCTAATCACGGATGTGCCGCAGCTGTTGGACATGCCGTTCCAGGAAAGTGAAGTGCGACGCCAACCGCCCAAAATGCCACCGCTGCATCAAAGCAAATATTGAATGTCAGGGTTACAATGTGCCGCTGTACTGGATCACCGACGAGGAATCCCACGCCCCCTCGGCCATCAAACGCCAGGCTATGAAGCTTCCGCGTACTACACCCCCATTCCCCTGATTTGTCGTGGCACGTGCTTACGAGAGGAACAGTAGGAGTTCCACACTGGCGCGCAGGGCAGATCAGCGACGTTGACGGACATTTACAAGATGTCGATGGTTACAAGGCCTTCACAGCTCGGGAAGCCTACGCGTCTGGACCCTTTGGGGTGTTCACATCCCAGAGTCAATTGCCCACAAAATCCTCCACCTCCTTGATTGATACCCTGGTCGTTCCAGATATCCCCATGCCGGAGATGTTTGAAGAGGTCGTTGACGAGAGAGGAGTTGATACGGAGATTACTACCACCGAAGACGATGATATGATTGAAGATGTTCACCCTCAGTCAGAAAACGCCCTCTCTTTGTACACCGCTGGCCCCACTGTCGAGTCTCAGGATATCTTACACATTTGCCATTCCCTCATTAACCCCTTCCCAATGCTCGGCAGAGAAGACAGGAAAGATATCCTTATCCAACAACTAATGCACAACTATGTGCACAATGTCGCCACTGTCCTGCAGCCTGTAGTTCACTCTCGCAACGCTTATAGCTCGATATATGCTACGCAAGCTATGGCCGTGGCTTTGAAATCCTCTAAGAACGAGAATGAGATCCAGCTCCTAGGACCTTCAGATATCGCGCTGAACAGTAAAACCGCATTGCTGTACGCTCTCCTTACTTCGTCTGCGTTCTTCCTTCGCGGCTCCGACAGGTTTGGTGAGGCGGATGCGTTGGCCACAAGTTTCCGCTTGAAAGCACAAGCACACCTGCAACTGGCTCTAAAATCGCTGTTTGACCCAAAGACTACATCTGGCCGATCATCACCAGATAAATCCCTCTCTGACTACGAAGGTGTGCTATCCGTGATGCTGACCCTGGTAACAGCTGACGTGAGTTTTCTTAATCCCGATGAATGCAGCTTCTTGCTCACAAGCTTTAGGTTCTTGACGGACAAATGAACGAGTTTTGGATCCACCTGGATGCAACAAAAGGCCTCGTGAGAAACCTTCGGCAGCATGTGCTCCCGGGCTCTCAAGCAGAACACCTCATCAACATCTCATACTTTCTTCGCACATTGAGTGATTCCCTGGATGTCAGTAATGAGCCTCTGCCGTGGTCACGCGACACGTACAACGCGCCGCTTTTCCTAGGAGATGGCAGCACATTGGAGTTTACATATGGCATCACTGCCAAACTTGCTGGCTTTATTCGCCAAACGTGTATTCTGGCACGGAATACTGCGTACTACAGATCAAATGACACGGATCTCCCAGACGAGTTCTTGGTTGCTCGTGAACAGCTTTTGGCTAGAATTTCAGAGTGGCATATCAGCCAGGAGCCACTGGTTTCATTTTCCAAGAGTGACCACATTACGCTTCTACTGATATCGAAGCATATCCTGGCATTTGCCACAAGTATCCGGATTTATTATCACACCCGTGTGCTCCCATGCGACGAGAATACGCTTCACTTCCTCGTCCGAGGTGTTGCCTCACATCTTACGGAGATTGAGGATATCAAGAAGCGTACAGGCTACAATGTGATCCCGACTGCAACAATTTCCTGGCCAGGGTTCATTGCCTCGTGCCAGGCCAGCGCGTCTGACCGCCCTGTCTGGGCCAAATGGTGGAATCAGATGCTCGGGTACCGGATTGGTAATATTTCAAATTTATGGACTGTTGTCCAGGAAACTTGGGCTCTGCAAGACAGTGCGCTTGATGATGGCGAGCCGTGTTGGGCGGTTGTTTTACGGAGGAGAGGGACGAGGATACTGGCCATCTAATCTGAAGCTTTTTGTAATATTATGATACCACTTTCACTAGTAATTTGAATATAAGGCGTTTGGATATAAGGCAAAAATACTCAAATATGAGATTCACACGAAAAATTATTTGAGGTGTAGCGAGTAGTTATGACTTCATGGATAAGTTGGCTGAACAGAAAGTACATAACTAGATAGATCAACCCGATCGACAGCAGAAAGCACCACACATATTGTGTCAACTTCGTCCCGATTAGAACTGGCTTCAACAACTACAGAGATCCAACCTGAGCCGACTATAAACAACCCAGTATTCGATCTATCTGTATCAAGTATGGCATCATTTGCATGTGCTCTCACATTTGGAACCGAGATATTGCACTTTCATACCTTAGTTATTAATTCATCTATGGACCTCTATTATCTAGCTGCATGCATCACGCTGAGGTCTCCTCCAGTAAAAACTCCGGGGACTTGAGGTCAACCCATCCAAGATTTGGCTCCGATTGTTTCCACCCTAGTCGATCTCGAACAAGCTGGGAATACGTCTTGACGTCCTCGATTGGATAACTCAGGTAAGGAATTTCCTTTATGAATAATGTGAGTAATTGGTCTCTGTGACGGAACATGCAAGACTTACCTCTTGGCGGTGCACACCACTGCACATAAACATAATATGAACCGTACGGCAACCGCTTTGGAGCGTATAATTGCCAGCGCCGTGGTAGAGGCTGCCCAACATGACAAAAGCCTCTCCCTTCTTCAACTCGGCATCCATAACGCCCTTGTTCCCATCATCTCCGAAGTCAGGCTTATCGTCACCCCAGAGATGAGAACCCGGGATGATGCGTGTTGCGCCGTTGGCCTTGAAAGTGTCGCATGCGGGGACAAACAACCCGATGAGCATGTCACGCCCCTTGGAGTACTGACTCGCCTGTTGGTGTCGATGGTGGTGGTTCTTGTCGTCACGGTGAAGCTTTTGAGCTTTGCACCCGGGTTGCGAGGACATTGTGATGGAGATGGAGAGAAGGGGGTTTGATTTCTGGATGGTAGGTTCGGATCCATACCATATCTTTGTCTCCAGACCGATAAAATGTTCGGCAATGCTCTGTTAGAGTTACCAATTAGTGACTGACTTCAGTTGGAGAGATCCAGATGTGTGTAAGCATACCTGGTATAACGAGTCGGAGAAGAACTTCTCCCTAACCGTCTTGCTTCGCCCTACGAGCCGAGTGCAAGTGGCGGTTCCTCCATTCAGGGCGCCCACAGTGCTTGCAGAATCTGCGAGAGATGCATCAAGATAGGGTTGAACTTCTTTGCCCGCCTGCTCGAGAGATTCGAGGTCTGTGAAGTCTTGGATGATAACGCACCCGTCCTTCTCGACAGCGTCAATGAAGGCCTGCAGGCCGGCTTCCCGAGCAATGCGCTGAACCATGGTGACAAGTCTTGACGTATGAATACTTTCTTATCAATCACGCTACAATTCCTTCCGACCGTAGTTGAAGCTATTGACTTATATATTCGTTGGCGTGTCCGATGGATTGAAGCGCATGATTGTGGTCGTTATCAGGCACTCCGAACTCGGTTGGGCTGAGGAAACAGTCAGCGAGATTTCCAGAGGGAAGCAGTCAGCGAGGTGTGGGTCGGTCATCTGCCAATGCTTTTTCGTGCGGGGAATCAAGGGTCTAATGGATTCAAAGACACGATGATATTTGTAATGGAACTAATAACTGAACCAGGCGTGCGAGTAATTGGCCCTGCAAATGTCGAAACTAGCCAGCCCGTTTGTTATTCCCGACACGAGCCGGCCGGAGACACATGGAAATTAAGTAATCCGCTGCAATTTGATGACTTGGAAACCAATAAGACGATCGAGGTTTGACAGGTTGACATGGACTCTGAGTTGGACTTAACCATTTTCAATATTACACTTTCGTTACATGGTACTCTGTAATTCTTGAGCTTTCACTCGCTACTCAGGCTGATTGTGAACAAAAACAAGAAAACAGCTTTTGACCGTCCTTTCGGGACCATGTGGAAACTCTGATGTGAGAGAAGGCTAGAGCAAACTTCCTTTCACCCCTTTGCCCTTCTGACGTCCGGCTTATCATCGAACCATATTTATCTCATGGCTTCATTTTCCCCGAATCTGGATAGGTTCCCAAGTTATAATGCTTGTTCTGGGGCAATTCACGTTTCGATTGGTTACCATTCCCGCGTCACTTGAATCAGGAACCGACCCACTGGACAGGGAAACCAAATCATGGATATGTCCGAGCTCCACAGATTCATAGG